AATAAAGACAGTTTACTACTTTTGCAACCTGGGCACCTTTCTCTTTTCTCTCTAATTTTTCTTCCTATGGGGTGGGGCCACAGAGTCTGCTTCCAGGGAGAGTTTGTGAGAGTCCCAATAGCACCCAAGGCTAGGCTGATCTGTTTCACTTGTCACTAATGAACTTCAACAAAATGTGCATGTCAAGCCATTCTGAAACCGGTTTGTCTCAGTGGATAGAGCGTCGGCCTGCGGACTGCAAAGTCCGAGGTTCGATTCCGGTCAAGGGCATATACCTTGATTGTGGGCTCATCCCCAGTAGGAGGTGTGCCATCATCACCTCCCAGCTGATCGATGTTTCTCTCTCATCGATGTTTCTAACTCTCTACCTCACTGGCTTCCTCTCTGTGAAAAATCAATAAAATATATATTAAAAAAAAAAGACAGTACATTGGAGGCTATCTGTGTCCTGCTAGGGCTGTGACTAACCACAGCAAGGCCCAGGGAGCTGTTTTTGGCAGGCCCGAACGTCCAGAACAATCTTCTCCTCCGTGAATGTCAGTGAGTGGGTGAGTTGATTATGTGTCCTCATGTGACTGCTGTTCTGGTTAGAATGTATAATTATGCAGTCTCAATAAGCCCACGAATCAGTTTAAAATTATTGTGTCTGTAAGAGGTATTAGGAGTTATTGTATATAACTGAAATTTCCCTTTCAAATATCTGTATGTACAATCCATTTCAATAAAAGATTATACACAAAAACATCCTAACGTAGTGGTCTTTGAGTTAGGTTCAGTAATTATTACATTTACTAGTAAATACAAATAAGTTGTCATCTAGACATGCTTTTTAAAGTTGGACAGAAGGGCCGTTTCACTTCTATTCTTGGAGCTTTAAGAGAGAGGAAATAAGATTCACGCATAGAAACAGTGTGCATTACTGAAATGCTCGTGAAAGAAAATACAACTTCCTGTTTTCCATTTGTCAAGCAAGGTTAGTTAAACGTCTTTAGAGAAGTTAAGTTGCTTTCGTAGCGGATTTATTCTGCGGTTGTTTTCCCACTGACTCAGCAGGAGTTCCAGCTGGCTTTGCTGATGACCAGAAGTTATAAAGTTCTTGGTCTGAGTCAGGACTCATCTGGCCAGAATCAACCTGATTTGTAAGATAAGAGACGGGAGCTTTGGGCTGCTTCCTGCGCAGGGAACCTCTGCTTGGTGTAGGCAGAGGTAGTGTCCCCTCTTCAGAGGGCACTGACTCCCCATAAGGTTCCCAAATCCTGTTGATTAAACCCAGCACTGCTTTCATCACCACATCTGGGAGGGATGGGCCCTGTGGCTCACAGACTGACAGGAGGGGCATCTTTGGGCATGGATATGCCTGGAGTCGCCAACTCTGAGCCAATAGCCATCTGAGGTGAGCGATGGGGGCCAGTCTCCTCCCTCCTGCCAGCTGTCTAGCTGCATGGATCACTGACAACAGTGAAATTCTTTTCTTTCCCAGTTAGTTTGTATTACTTTGGAGTGAGTTGGTAACATAATCAGGGAAAATATTTCTAATATGACAAATGGTGAGTTTTTACACCATAAGAAGTGAACTTGGCAGAAGCCATCAATGGGAAAAGCTTCTAACAAGTCTAACGTTCTCTCAAAAGCTGGCCTGCCCAGGGGTGGGGAGAAGGTGCTCACCGTGCACTCATGGAAACTTGGGCTCCAGGAGCGTCAAGCAGCCTGCCCCAGATGGCAAGCACAGCCTGAAGGACCGGTTCGCAGCAGCCTTTCCGCTGTGGTGTCCCTGCTCCTGGGACCCTGACCCTCACTTCTTCCTATTCAGTAAGAAAAGTCAGAAAAAGGATGAGGGAAAGGAGGAAGGAAGAAAGGAAGGAAAGGAAAAGACTTTCACAAGGCAGAGCTAGTCTCCCTCTGCAGGTCAGGAGAATTTCTGTATTTTTCTCGCCTTCTTCAGTGGCCTCAGTCCTGTCCCAGCCCAGCTGAAGACAATGACTTGTTCCTCCATGTTTTCGCTCCCCTACGGTTAGCCCAGAAGAGCCCCTTACAAAAGTAGTTTGAGTTGACACAAAAGAGAACTTGAAAGGCTATTTTTAGTTCATGCTCAGAAGACACTACTAGTTTGCCAAGATCGGGACTCCCCTGAAAGTTTGTTCTTTCAAAACTTTCCGACAGTCAAATGTGTCTGAGAGGACACGAGATGCAAGGTTCTCAGTGAGATTTCAGATGTCTGAATGATGGTGGACCAGCTCGTTTTCCTCTTGGGAAAAGCAAGTGGGTTGTGTGTCACCCAGGCCCTGGCGCATCGCGGGGGCTGGATGAGGGCACTTCTCTGTGTGCTGATCTCTCAAGAAAAGCCAGATGCCATGCTGGCCCACTCCTCCACTCTCCCCTGACAGACCCGGTCCAGTGTCCCAGCCCTCTTCAGGGCACGCAGCACACACTGAGCAAATGGCACAGGATTGGGGCGCTACGGAATCCGATGAGCTATTCATTACATACCTATTTACATTAGATAATGAAAAGTAGATATAAAAGAGCACAGTAAGTCAGCACTTACCATCCTCAATAGGTTCTTAGAAACTGTGGCTTGACGTGAAATGATGTACAATGAGACCATCTTTATCAGAGGCTAAGAGTTAAGTTCCTATGTCTTATTTCTGGTCACAAAAACATCACCAGACTTCTAAATAAAGATCCAAAATGCTCCTAATATTAAACATTAAAGTAAATGGGAGCTCTACACGCGTTTAAGAGGATAAAATCAAGATGATTTCCCAACCCGCTGATTCCAGTTCAGGATGGTGGTGGCTGGAGCCTCTACAGTAGCTCAGGGTGCCAGGCGGGACCCACCCTGGACAGAACTTTCCTCCATCGCTGGCCACTCACACCCACCTCACTCACATGGGGACAGTGTAGACGCACCAGTTCACCTCACATACACATCTCTGGAACATGAGAGGAAACCAGGTCCCTGGAGAAAACCCACGCAGACATGAGCTCCAACTCCACACAGAGAATGACCCTGGCCCCCAAACAACTTCTCCTCGTTAATGTTATAACAAAATGACATTGTTCAAGGATCTGCTATATTTTAATAGTTTCGTTAATATGACATTTATATAAAACTTCCAAATAAGTTTTTCAATTTGCTCACAGATGTGAACACTGTACTTTTTTTTTTCTTGAACTAACCATTCAGCTCCTGATCAAGACTTTAATGATGAGTTATTCACATTCTTAATAGTCACCATCAATAAGAAACTTTGTGCAAAAAGATGTAAACATTTTTATTGATTTTAAAAAATTCATTTTAGAGAGAGGGGGAGAGAGATAGAAACATCGATGAGAAACATCAACATTGATCGGCTACCTCCCGCAGGACCCAAGCTGGGAATGGAGTCTGCAACCTGGCGTAGGCCCCAATGGACAGGGAATCGAACAAGTGACCTCTTGGTGCATGGGTCAATGCCCAACCACTGAGCCACATGAGTCGGGCTTTATTAATTTTTTTTTTTTTTTAAACAACCATTCAAAAAATCCCAACAGTAGATTTTTTTTTTTTTTAACTGACAAAATGTGATACTGGTAATTTTCTTGCAAATTCTTTTCCTGCCCTCAGAACTTTCTAGTATCAGGCATTTCACAGTGATGGGGAGCTACTCATCCTGGATACTGGGGCACCAGGGCTGGCAGCTGGACTAAGGTCCATGCCCCTGAGCCTGGTACAAAAGCTGACCTCAGGCTGGTGACCTGGCTGAGGATGACAGTGGTCCTGGCCCAGCCGTGCTGCTCCGAGGGCTGAGATTGACTGACCACATCCAGCTGCTGCTCTTACTAGGACTGTAAGGTAGCCTCTTCCTGCCTCAGTTTGCCCATCTGCGAAGTGGAGAGAATAGTACCTATCTGGTAAGGCTGTTATGAGGACTAAATGAGAGCCATGCCTCATGTATCTGTGTTTATTAAAGTTAAAAGGTCAAGAGGCTCTACAGCAGACCCCCAAATCATGTGCTTAGAACCTGCCAGAAGCAGATTGCTTGGTTGTGAGTTCTTGCTTCTTCCCTCTCTAGATGTGGGCCACCCCAGGCCACGCTGCCTTTGCAGCCTCAGTTCATGGCCCACACGTGATGGCACTGGCACCCAAGTCATGATGCACAGATTCAACAGGTCAGTTCACGGAATGTGCTCAAGAAACAATGACTGTTGGGACACCGAGTAGCCAGGATGCAAACGGGCTGCTGAGTGCTAGGCCTGCTCCCGGCTGCCTGCCTCCCCTAGGGAAGCCTCCACTTGTCCACACTCTTCTTCAACCCATTTAAGTCGCTGCACTCAGTGTGTTTTCTGCCCTTCAACTTAGGTCTCTCCAGGATGATTTTGCTTGTCTTTAGGGAACATCCAAGAATGGCCAGAGCAGGTGCATCGAGTGTCAGGCACTAAGGGGATTCCTTTGCAAAGCCATGAGGCTGCCAGCAACCCTGGTCTTTTCAAGTCTCAAGTAAGTACCACACATCCTTCCTCATTTGTATTTTATTAGGAAGTTGTATCAAACAATCAGTTATAAAACTTTACATAGCAAAAGGTCATTCTTATAAAAAAGATGATTCAGAGGAGTATCGGATTCTTCATAAGACCAGAAGCAAAGTCAAGCAATTTCATTTTATGAATATTTTTACATTTAACAGGAAAATAAAAACAACAACTGTGCAAATGTTAACATCAAGGAGCAACTGCAGAGATGAGGCTGTTAAAGCTTAAATTTTAAAAATCTGCATGATAAGTGACATAAAATAAGTCATCTTTTATTAAAATATAATATCTATGTCTCTTTCCACCATATACACATATTTTTCTATTTAAATAAATATATATTAATGCATTTTTAATGACGTACTGAACAACATTCATCTGGTGCTTTCGGGCGGTGGCAGGGAGACGGATACCAGAAACTTGGGGCGTACCTGGGTCTCTAAGGCAGAGGGGTCTGCCTCCCCAGTTTGGGAATGTCCCGGCTCTCCTCACACGAGGACTGCTGAGTCTTCCGAGGAGTCATCTGCGAACAGAAGCTCATCTGGCGGTAGGCTCCCCACGGGCAGCGTGCTGGACTGGGACCAGGGGACCCCGCTCCTCGTGTGTCTGTCCTCCGGTAAAACACCGTTCTTTCCCGCTGTCCCTGCTGCTGGGGCGGTGGGAGCTACGTCTTCCCAGTTCTCACTGCCCCCATCTAGAATGTACCTTCCCTCGTGAAGTCCATTCTCATGGACTTGGGCTGTGACCACGCTGACAGCAGCGCTGGTCGCACAGGCAGCAATGATAGAGTCAGGGTCGATGGCCATGTCCAGCTGAGTGAGGGGGGGGCCCTCTGCCAGGCCCTCGCAGCTCTCTGGAAACGGCGTGTTGATGTAAATGACCTCAGCTTTGTCCTGCACTTCAGGCAAACTTTCCAAGAACTTTTCTAGCTGCAGCCTCAACATGGAGAATGTGGGTCGCTCCAAGGGCTCAGCCCTCCAGCAGGAGAGCATTATTTCATACCTGCAGGTAGAGAAGGCGAGTTAATTCCTGGCACAGCGCCCAGCCCTCTGTGCAGTCCACCCCTTGTTTTCACCTTGTCTTGGATTTAAAAAATAATAATAATTTTACAGAGAGAGGAAGGGAGAGAGAGAAGTAGGGGAAGAAGGAGAAAGGGAGGTAGGGAGAGAGAGAAACATTGATTTGTGGTTCCACTTTATTTAGGCATTCGTTGGTTGATTCTTGCATGTGTCCTGACTGGGGATTGAACCCACGATCTTGGCGTATCAAGTTGATGTTCTAATCAACTGAGCTACTGGGTGAGGATGATTTTATCACATTTTAATACATACTAATTTTACTTTTTGGAAGTTACTGAGGTTTTCCTTGTGGCATATTTGTTCAACTTTTATTATAAATTTTCCATGAGTATGAAATAGTGCTCCTCTGTCTCCAGGAATATAGGACATAATTTGGCCCATGGGCCAAGTCCAGCCCACCATCTGTTTTGTGTGACCCTGAGGAGGAGCGGTGAATGATTAAAGAAGACAGACAAGAGAATACAGTTGGGGCCAGGTAGGACCTGTGCCTAGATTAGGAAACAGTGACTCTTCTTGTAAGCAGGACCTTTATTTTATAGTCAGAACATACAAAGCAAAACAAGGGGAGTGGTCAACATGTTTACAATGTTCTCGAGAGTTTCAAATCTACTTCGTTCCTGTTGTTGCACTCAAGCCTGGTTTTGGCAGCACTTGCTGCACCTCCCACAGCCCACACCCCTTAGCTACCTAGGACTGCAGGGTCGGATTATAGGTCAAGCTTACAACCATAGCCTTTGGCTATAATTGTTTGCCACAAGTCAGTCTGAGGCTTGATCCTGTCCGAACGTTGTAGTTGCTCTCCACAGTAAATAAAGTTTTATTGGAACACAACTACTTTTATTTATGTGTGGCTATTTCTACTGCAATGGCAGAGTTAAGTAGTTCCAACAGAGACCACATGGCCTCAAAATGAAAAATACTTACAATTTTTCCCTTTCCAGAAAAAGTGTGCTGACCCCTGTTCTCCACATGAAGCTGGGTTTGTCACCAGGAGAACTGTTAGAAGGGCCGGGGAGGGGTGGGTAAAGGAGTGTGTGCCTCACTGTGCCTGGCATTCTGTGTGTGTTACTGCACCTACTCTTGTCAATAGCCCTGTCCTTGTTACTTTGCTATGAGGGCAGCAGGGGAACTGGTCTCTGGCAGGACAAGACCTATGACTGGGGCTCCTCATGACCTCTGCTGTGTCCTGTAGAGAGGATTCTTTTCAGGGTCGTGTCCTCATTCTCTGTGTAATTAGGAATTACAAAGGGGGGACATTGATGTGAGCACAGTAAAACAGAGAGATGACTGCATTAGGAAGAGTGAGTTTTACTACCATTTGGACTCTTTCCTTTTTTGAGAAATTGACATTCATGTTGCTGGATAAGGAAATGATTCCAATGCTGACACATGTAGTAGATTACTGCAATATTATAAAAAATATATATTTTTATTGATTTCAGAGATGAAGAGAGAGTGATAGCAATAGAAATATCAATGATGAGAGAATCATTGATTGGCTGCCACACTCGGGATAGAGCCCACACCTTGGGCATATCCTCTGACCGGGAATCAAACCATGACCTCCTGGTTCATTGGTTGACACTCAACTACTGAGGCACTCCAGCTGATATTTGTGAACATAAATATGAAATTCCCATATTCACATGTAATCCCATCATGTAGAACTGTGGGTAATCCTATTAGCATTCACACATGCAGTGAGAGATCTCATCCACATACACGTACAACAATCAATACCCGCATTTGTTTACTTTTCAGCTCCTATCAGCAAGGCCTGAGTCCTGGCCAGCGCGGTATGCAGGTGCTTTGCCTATGAGCGTAGAACCTTGAGTTCCTATTTCCCTGATGAGCCCGATTCCCACCTGGACATCACCTCAGCTCTCTATTCTCCATGTTTTACCTGCATGAGTCAGCCACTGGGACTTGGCAAACAGCTTCTGTTTCCATTTTTGAGGTTTTTATGGTATAAATCAATTTGCATGACTTCCTGTTTTCCACAGAGCCCTGCCTGTTTGCAGTCTGAGATGAGCTTTGAGGAATTCTGCCCTTAGAAGATACCCCCCTTTTCATTAGGCCACGAAGGCCCCATTATTTACCTTCATTTATCCCATGTCTTTGGAGAAAGCGTTTGCATAACCCAGAGATTTTAACTGGTGTGCCATAAGAATATTATAAAACATGCAATACCTGACTACTTAGCCAAGGACACTGACTTCTTTTCTCCTAACAAATAAAAAAACTGACAACAGCCAACCCAATAACAGCCATCCAGTGTAAATGAATAAAAATAATACCTATATTTTTTTATCAGATTGGCAAACAATACAGTTTTTGGTGTGTTGTAGAATTTTAATAAATGGTTTATATGTGCTGTGAGAGGCAAAGGGTTGAAAATCACTGTTATAATTTATGTTCTTCATATTCAAGTGGTAGCAATATCATTTTTAAACTTATTTTTCTTCAAGACTTTATAAATTATGTAACTATAAAATAGAAATATGACTAGTAAATATATGGTAGTGTGTGTACTGTGGAGGTCCCTCTCGCAAAGGGCAGTTCTGCAGCGGTGGACCAAGGTCAACAAGTTCAATTTCAGAGATTTAAAGAAAAGAGAAGCCCTAGTCAGTCTGACTCAGTGGATAGAGTGTCAGCCTGTGGACCAAAGGATCCGGAGTTTGATTCCAGTCAAAAGTGCATACCTTGATTGCAGGCTCCTTCCCAGCCTGGGCCCTGGTCAAGGCATGTGCAGGAGGCAGCCAAACAATGTGTTTCTCTCACAGCAATATGTCCCTCTGCCTTTCCCTCTCTCTTTCACTTTAAAAGCAAATGGAAAAATATCCTAGGTGAGGATTAAAAAACAAAAACAAACAAACAAACAAACAAAGACGAAAAAGAAAAAGCAAGTTTGGTAGTTGCCTTCGTAAATGGTCATTTTTGTTTTTCTACTGAGATTTCATAAAATATGTAGTCACATAGGTTGTGGGTATTGGGGGAGTGGCGGATGGGGATTACTGTTTCATGGGGGACAGAGTTTCAGTTTCGTGAGATGAAGAGTTCTGGAGATGATGGGGTGACGGCTGTACAACATGGATGCACTTCCGTGACTGATCTGCACACTTAAAAACAGGTAAGATGGTAAATGTACGTTCTGTGCATTTTACCACAACTTTTCACAAAGGAGTTTAAATGATGCAATAATACAAATTTTTAAAAATTATACATTTCTGAATTTCTATTTGTTAGGCACCTGCTTCTCCCTGGCTCTGAGGATGGCGGAGCTCCTCCCATCTGCTCAGAGAAATGGCAGGTGCCCTGCAGCGTGGGGCAGGGTCTGAGTGCTGACACTTGGCCGATGGGAGGAGCCCCGCGGCTCTCCTGCCTGGGGCCTGAGCTGCCACAGGTGGATGTGGAGGGACTGATCTGTAAGTAGAGGAGGGTTTCTGAGAGGGAGAGGGTGGTGTGAGCTGCGGTCCTTATTCAGTTCACACTGTGATGCCACTGTGCCACCGTTTCCTCATACCAGGCCCCGCCAGCTTGGGCTTCTCTGATTTGATGGTATTAGGGTGGGGTCAGAGGGCAGGGGGACTCAGAAGGACATCAGTGGGATAAAGTGGATGGGACCAAGTGGAATAAAGAAAGAACAAGGTGGCTCCTGAGTATCAGAGGGGAATGAGTGTTGGTGCAGGAACCACAGCGGCCAGTGGTGTGAGTGCCTGAGGACCACAGCCAGAGGCCATAGCTCAGCTGAGGAATGTCCTATGGAGACTACGAGGAATCATGCAGAGAGGCCTCTTGGGCCAGGGGAACAGGCCTGCCGCCTGGTCACTCGGAGTAGTGACACTGTGAGCAGTGGTGACACTGTGAGGCAGGACATACAGTGGACTCCGTCACTTACACCCTTCCATGTCTTAGAACTGACTTGAAAAAGACCCAGAGGCAAGTAGCGCAGGCATGAACTCACCTCGGCTAAGATTAGACAGCAAATGAGATGAGAAGCTCAGAAGTGTGTCTCATTTTTAAAAGAAAACGTCCCTGATATGAAACAGATGCCTCTTTGTTGACTAGCATCCAGTTGGGACAGGGGGCCAAGAAGGCCTGGTTCAAGCCTGAGGTGCAGAGCCAGCTGGGTGGGGACCACAGGGCTGCCTGATCCGCCTGACCTCCTGGCCACGTGGCACGTGCTGACTCTGCGACTCTCACTCAAAAATGCTCAGAAACACGAGTCAGCATTCTTCATCTGGCTCTGTGTAAAACGTTGGAAAACCACAGTGTGACACAGCTCAGACCTTGCTAAGACCTTAGGTAATCACTGCAAAGACCAACTGTTTGTGGGGCAAGACAGAAGCCAAGAGGGAAAGAGCCACAAAACTCCTCATTCAACACTGTGTGGCTAAAACGGTTCCTCCTTTCTAGAAGCAAACATTTCATTCACGTGGCTCTTTCAAAAACCACCATGAAACCCCAGATCTAACTGCATTAGAATTTTACAATGTTGTTAAAGGGCTTAACATTTTTTGTTTCTGTTCTTAATAGTGTAATCTATAACCACAACAGCCACCACGAACAGCTTGTGGCTCTGGTCAATCAAGGTTCCTTCTGGGGATTTTCCTGCTTATGTGAATTCTCCATGCACACGTATTACAATTTGATTTTCTTCTGTTAAAAAAAATAAGAGTTTTCTCTGCTTGCTTGGATGAGATAGGGGAGCCTGCATGCCCTCTAACCTAGCCCTCCCCTACGTGAGGAAGCAAGGCCACAGTGGGTGTGTGTGACACAGTGGGGGGTCCCACTCTCTCCCAAGCCTGAGCCCACGCAGGCCCAAGGCTCTGAAATCTTGCTGCATACGGAGACAATGTGGGTAACCCCTGTTATGTGGGGAAGAGACTCAACACTAGGGAGGTAGAGGCAGTGCCACAGGAAGTCAGCTGAAGAAGGTCAGCAAGGTGTTTGGGCAGGTCGGTGTGTGTGATGTTACGTTACGAATCGGCATCACGATGTGACACTTGCTCTGTGCCTCCCGCAGGCTGAGCGCTCCACACACTTTCCTCAGCCCTCCCAACAGCTCTGAAGAAAACGCGACTGGACTTTATCTGTGGCTGATAATGAGGCGCACAAGTCGAGTCAGCTGCGATGGCCTCCCCTGTGGGTAGGTGGAGGCCACACCTGGCCTCAGTGACTCAGAGGCCCAGGCCTCTCCCCGTTCCGCCCACCCTAGAGAGGAGGGGCCTATCCTGCACGGGCTGTGCACGCTGAGCTGGGGCTCTCAGGCCGAGCGGAGCACCTGGTCGCCCAGTGTCTTAAGACATGCACTTCTGGCCCACTTTGTTCCTACAACCTCAGCGTCCAGGCATGGGGCCGAGGAATCGTGCTGCTAGACTATCCCCCACGCAATTCTGATGACCAGCCTGACCTCAGAGCCACAGGCTGAGGTTTCTAAATTTCCTGACTTAGGATATTACTGCGATTTGTCCGCCTGAAATACTGAACAGGAAGAGAAGGATGACGGCAGCACAAGAGGGCAGGTGACCAGGTACCTCATATGCAGTTAAGTTGACCCATTTATCTAGAATGCATTTCCCAGGGGTGCCTGCAGACCTGCAGACATGTGCACACACCACCTCTCACACCAGGAAAGGCTTTGGCTTGGACGTGCCACCTCTGCACACGCATCCTGGCTAAAAGCACCCCCGTCCCTAGGTCTTTGTAGACCCACTGGCCAGCCCACGCAGGGTGCCTGGCCACATCCAGCGGCTCACTCACAGTTCGTCCAGGCAGTCCTCCGGCTGCTTCAGCCTGTGGCCGTGGAGCAGATAGTCGTACATCTCATGGTTCTGGACTCCGGGGTAGGGCGTCATCCCCCGAGTTGCAATTTCCCACATGGTCACGCCAAATGCCCACTGAGAACAAAGCAACCAGAAGTAAGATCTGAGTCTTTTCAGAAAGCCTGAATGGACTTTTTCATTGGGAAAGGTCATTTCCTTAGAGCCCTGATGACTGTGCACAAAGCTGACAATTATGACTGAGACACGCTGCTCTCCCAACACGGCAGTAACGTGGCTGGAACGTCACGGTGCCCACTTGCTGCTAACGCTGTTACGGGAAATCTGACCAGGGCAGCCAGGGCCTTCTGCCGAATCGATGCTCAGTCCCACTGTTGTCAAGTGTTTTCTCTCCTCGTTTCTGGTTGAGGGCGTAGCCACACAGAACTTTTTGTACATCGTGTTGGTCCCATAGAGCCACTGAATGAACTTGCTGAATTTAATATGAATATGAAATAGCTTAGTTGTGGGCAATAAGTCACAATAGGGTCACAGAGGAAAACGGGAATAAATTAAGGGCCTGTGCAAAGACAGATCTTTTGAACGTCAGGAGCCTTCACCAGAACCTGGAGCTGCACCTGAATGAGGGTGCCTAGCAATAAATAAAAGAAATGCGAGCATACTCCCGGCCCTCAGTTTATCAGTGAAATGTCTGGCAACACCAGCTAAGTCACTTCGTCCAGCACGCTTCCTCTGCAAGATGCAAGGTCCCCAGTAAAGCTGTACCCACCACGTCGCTTTTACTAGTGTAGACTCGGTCCGCAAGGCTCTCGATGGCAATCCACTTCACAGGCATCTTAGCAATGCGGCCTTGGCGGTAGTAATCACCGCTGTAAATCTTCTTGGAGAGGCCAAAGTCCGCGACACACACCGTCATGTCATCGCGCAACCTACAGAAGAGAGGAGTTTGAGTCCTTAGGTCCATTACAATAAAACCTTGAAGCACAGGCCTGCATCACATGCACAGGAAGTAGCCCAGAGAAACACGCCCCACCTGCTTGGGGAACAATGGCAGGGCACATGAGGGGGAGCAGCAGAGAGAGAACTCTGCACCCTACTTGTCTGTATGGGAATCTGACCCAGCCAGGCCCTCTGTGCACAAGGATGGAGACACCAGGAGGGAACAGGGGAGCTGCACAGGCGTAGAGGGAGCCCAGCTCAAACCCGGGGCCTCTGGTCCCTCAGCGAGTGTCCCAGCGGCCTTTATGCCTGACATCTGGATGCAGCACCGGCTCTGTGGTCCAAGGGAGCCTCCCTGCAGCCTGGGGGAGGCAGGTAAGTACATCCTGCAAGAGGAGACCCGGGACTCCCCGCAGAGACAGCCAGGTAGTACTGGAGGAGTAACTCAGACAAAGTTATACAATCACATTGATAGCTCATCCTATAAAAACAGATCCTAGACAAAAGGAGAAGGAAGAGTAGAAATGAGGGGTCTGGAGGTAGCATGATGACCTGTCCCTGTTTGCCCGACACTGACTTTTAAAACTGGACATGCTTTGTCCTGGGGAAGTTCCGGGCAAACCGACAGCTGGTCCCTTTTCTTGATAGGAAAAGCATTAAGGAAACATTGATGGGGGAAAAAACGATTTTCAGGGGTCTCCTTCTGTGGTAGAAAAATTGTTTAAGTTAAAAAACAAAAACAAGACCCTTCTGGGTTTTCAAAAATGAGGTGAAAATGGAGGGAGTTGGGGAGGGGAGCACTGGTGAGGAGGAATGAGGGCAGGCATCACTGTCACTTCTCCAGGCAAGAGAAGTAAATGAAAGCAACACATGTAAGGAACCTTCTCTCTTCCTGCAATAGTGAACTTAAGTCAAGATGCAGTTACTGTCTTCAAGTTCTACCGCAGACAATGGGTCTGCTGCTGCAGCACGAAGACGTGGGGGACCTTGAACTCCAAGTTCTACTCTGTTTTTGCTGCTCCAGTCGGCGTGTCCACGGACCAGGGCGTCTTCACGAGGCAGCATCGTGAGGGTGCAGGGAAAGACCGTTATGGTTTCCATGACTGTCTGCAGGATTAGCTGACTGACTTGTAACTGGGTCCAAAGCCGGCTGATGGCAATGAACAGGGATCACAAAGGTCTTACCTCGCCCTCCTGGGGCGTGAGAGTGTAAAAATAAAAACAGAGTCACAGGAGGAAGTTTAGGAGGGACTGAAAACCCGCAGGCACAAACCCAGTCATGCATCAGAAACACAGGAATTCCACCTCCAGAGCTCTCTCTCCTCTTACTGTGACAGTGACCGGCCACCCACTGTGTCCCCACCACAAACACCAACACCATGAAGTCCAACGGCCCAGGGTGCGCCCAGACCCTTACATGCAGTTTCGAGCAGCTAAGTCTCGATGAAGGAAATTCCTGTTGCTCAGATACTCCATTCCCTGGGCAATGTCCACCATGAACTTCACCAGTGTCTGCACGGGAATGTGCTGGGAGACAAAGCAAGAAGAAAGATTATTACTATTTTTTTACAAGGAAATCTGCACGTTATCGCCGTCTGGTGGAAAACAGCATTTTTATCTCTGAAATGTGTGGCCATGAGACATGGACACAAACTTCATTTCTGTATCACTAATAGCACAAATAAGGTTTTAAAAGAGGAATGAAAACAAACAAACTCTCCACCTGTTTGGCAGATATCACATTTTCTTCTCTCCATGTTTGAAAGTATTGACAGTGAATAACATTCATCTCCCATGTCATGAGATCCCACTCAGTGGGACCCTCCGTGTCCTGAGTGCCAGTAGGACCAAGCACCCATGCCACACAGAGGAGGGGGGAATCTGGCTTTTGAGGGTGGGGGGTTCTAATGTTTTGAGGCAAAAAGCCCACTTTAAAGTAGCTGTCCAATTGTGCACCCACATCTGCTAACCATCTGAAATGTCTTGAAAAGATGGTTTTCTTTTAGAGATAAATTAGGATGGTCTTAGGCCCTTATCACAGGAATTTTCCTTTTTGTTTCTTGGGACCCCTTGTGCTGTCAGCAGCCTGGTGTTTCTCCAGGCATGATAGCACACGAGCTGCTGTGTTGGAGACCACTGGGCTGGAGCTGATTCTGAGGCTGACCACAGAAGTGGCGGTCTCTGCAGACACTGCGCGTGAGTGAAAGCAGCAGAGACTTCCTGGCCACCACAAGCAGGTCCATCCACTACACCCTCTCCCCAGCGCAATGGATTTGTCACTACTCATTCTGTCTGGCACGGGTTTTCCAACGTGGTGAGAACAAAGCCTTGGATTTTTAGTGCCAAGTCCCGTGTCGGCCACACATTGTGTATACAATAAAGTGCTTTAATTATGCTTTACCTTTACATAATGGACTTGTTAAAGAGGGTGTGAACAGACCAGGGAGGAAAGTCCCATGCTGTGTTCTGTATACCTGGGGCTTTAATTTTCTGGATGATAATTTCCAGGAAAGGAGTTGGGTAGAAGAAATAGCAAGTCTGCTAACATTCATGGAGGCATAACGAGTATCAGGTACTATTCATCTGTGTTATTTTTTCCTTGAACAATGATTTAATTCTTGCAAACTGTGACCAAAGTTATTTAAAAGATAATTGTGTGGGCCTTGCCGGTGTGGCTCAGTTTGTTGAGCATTGTCCGGTGCATGGAGCGGTTACCGGTTCTGTTCTCAGTCAGGGCACATGCCCAGGTTTTGGATTCAATGTCCAGTCAGGGTGTGTGCTGAAAGCAACAAATGGATGTTTCTCTCACTCCCTTCCTATTGCTCTAAAGAAAAAAATAAGTAAAAACTTATTTAAAAAAAAGACAATTGTGTGGTAGGATTAATAAATGAGTTCAACTAAGTTACAGGACACTAGTGTATGGAACTACAAAAATCAGTGTAGTTTCATACACTAGAAATGAACACTCTGAAAATGAAATCAAGAAAACAATTTTATCTACAAAAGAATAAAAAATAAAATGCTTAGGAACAATTTTAACAAAAGAAGTACAAAACTTATACCCTAACAAGTACAAAATGAAAGATGCTGAAGATCTAAATAAAAGAAATGAGAGCCTGTATTCACGGCGGGGAGGGTGAGGACAGACAGCACGGAGGCCCTGACAGAAGAGCGCATTACGTAACCGATTCCTAGTCCTGCCGCACTAGCAGAACAGAGACGTGTTTATTCCCCCAACTGACTGAACAGACAGCAAAGCCCTGAATGAAAGCTTGATGTCCCAGCTTCTCTCTGCCTTTTGTGACTCCCAGCATTACCCATGGCTGCAAAAGTGTACATAGGAGTTACTTTCCAACACTGTATTTTTGCAAATAGAAACTATTCATTAGTTAGTAAAATTCTGTGTACTGGTTTCTCTTGTTATAAACAAGCTGATTCTAAAATTATATGGAAGGGCAACATAACTAGAAAAGCTAAAAACAATTCTGGAAAGTAGAATAAATCTGGAGGAATCATGGTACCCAATTTTAAGATTTATAATAAAGCTACAGCAACCAACATGATTTCCGTTTTCAAGAATAGAAAGAAAATTGGGCCCTGGCTTGTGGTTTTCAGTGATTAGAGAGTCAGCCCCACACTGAAGGGTCATGGGGTTTGATTCATGGTCAAGGACACATACCTGGGTTGTGGGTTCAATCCCTTTCCCTGGTCGGGGCATGTGTAGGAGGCAAGCAATCAATGTGTCTCTCTCACATAGGTATTTCTCTTTCTCTCTTCCTCTCCATCCCTCTCCCCTCCACCCCTGTTCTACTCTCTCTAAAAATCAATGGAAGAAATATCCTCGGGTGAGGGTTAACAGAACAAAAAAGAAAGATGAGTGGAGTAAGTTCATGCTCAGAGTCTCTGAAAAACAGTTCAGGGCACCTTCCCTCTGAAAACTGAGACAGGTCCTGCACCCAGGGATTTCAGAGTGAACAAGCTAGAGAGGTGACTTCAAAAGAAAGAGGCCACTCTGACATCACAAGTCTCCCCCGCCCCTCGCCCCGCCCTGCTCCACTGTGAGGGGCACCAGCATGTGCTCCCAGCTGACTTCCTCCCCCCATGAACAGGAATAGCAGGACCTGGGGAGGCCTGCTGGGAAGGTGGATACCCCATTTCAACCCCCAGGATGCACAGGGAGCTCCAAACAAAGGCTCAAGTCCTTGCACTCCCTCCTTTACATTCAGGGTCAGACGCTGAGTGTGTCCAGGCCTTGTCAAGCATACAGAGGCAATGCTATGGGTAATTCATTACCTTTGATCCTGTCTCCAGTCGGGAATAGAGTAAGTAGGTATGTAGGTCCCCGTATTTCATGAAGGGTAAGATCACCATGGGCTTCGGGGTGCCTTGAGAGCCCATTTCTATACAAACACCTGAAATTAAGAACAGAGTTCCTTACAAAGAGCCCTTGTTAGCAGTGACCGGAAAAAGCAGGCAGGAGCCTGGGCCAAATTGAAACCACGTGTGCCCCAGTGAACAGTTAAAAAAAAACAAACGCTCGTAACTCATAACCGAGTTCAAGAATACAGAATGCAGGTTGGGTCCACCTCTCGGTATGTTTTTTCTTTCAGGTTAGGGCCAGCCTTTGCATGATGAGAGCGCTCAAAAACTAGTCTGCAGAGACCTGGAGAGTTTTTGTTACATTGATTCCAAGTGAGGGGCAGGGACCGCATCAGAATTCAAGAAGCAGACTCGTCTCATGTGAGAGTGAGACATTTAATCGTAGGAAGACGTGCACTGAAGTCAAATGCTTCAGCTACACAAAGTGTTCTGAGGTAGAATCCACATCCCTAAATTCTAACAGTTTTCACAGGAAAAGCTGCAACCCATTTTCCGTGGAATTCTAGAAGGAGAGCCTGTCACCTGACACGGCGCTGGCAGAGCGGGTGCACATTTTGGTGCGATCACAAAGCACCATTGTTCTCCGTCTGCTGAGGCCGATGGCTGCAAACGAGTAACACTCACTTCTTTGACACAATATTATATCCAAAGATTAGTTTTCACATCTCCCTTGAGTGTCCAAGAGACTTGGAAAGCTCCCCAAGGAGTTTAGCATGTATTAGATTGCAGGGCAGCAAAAATAAGTCGTCAGAACATTGTTATTCTCAGGCTGCCCTCCCTCTCGGAGCAGGGTCACTGACACAGCAACCCCTGGAACCCGATCTCCCCGTTTGGTGTTTTTTAGCGAACGGTACTAAACGCCAAATTCTGACGTGAAATCATGTCCCATTTTTACCCACTTTTACCATTAGCCTCCCCCCCGTGGGAACGGTAAGGAGAAGCCTTTGGGTGAAGAGACCTCAGGGCGTCAGTCTCTGTGGGTCACACCAGGCTCCCCTTTGGCGCAGGGGGGGTGCGCCTGTCTAAGTACCTAGCAGTCCGATGACGTTGGGGTGGCTGAAGTCTTTCATGCAGGCGGCCTCACTGAGGAACTCCTCGATCTCTCGCTGGGAGAAGTTGTCCACTGGAAGAAGAGATGGGAAACCTCAGGCACAATTAACATGTTCCTTGAAGGGCAGGGGCCGCAGTAACTTTGTTCTCTCAAAGTAAAATCAGGAAAAGACAAAACTGTGGCCACAGTAGACACATGAGTGGTTGTCAGGGGCCGGGTGGGGGATAAAGAAGGGGCGCACAGGCGAGTTTAGGGTGGTAAGACGTGTGGAGGACCTGGGGCAGGTGTGAGGAGCTCATCACAGAAACGGTCCCTCTGTGCCCAGGCAGCGCTCTGGATGGCGTCCTGAGCCATTGGTGACCCAGATCAAGGCCTCTGAATGCCACCCTGGCCTCATAGAGCACCAGACACCGAAGTAGCTGCCCACAACTAGAATGGGTTCGTGGGTGACAGAAAACTCACGTTTCATGGTCTTCACGGCCACTTTCTCAGAAGTCCCATCTTGCTGACTAAGACTTCCTTCCATGACGGACCCAAACTCTCCTGTGAAGCAAAACAATACTTATGTGGACCTTGTGCAAAATCTCTCCTGACCATGAGCCAGAGCCACATTTTCACGTGGCCCGAGAGGCTCCAGACACCGCAGCAGGCAGAGCTGCTGGGCCCTCCACACTGGAAACCCAGGGCAGAAGCCAGGCACTACCCTCCCGCTTGTCAGCACCTCGGCTGGCTGGGACTTCGCTCAGGTCCTCACTTTATTACAGGACAACATGGGAAATGTTTTCGAAATTCATAAAGTAGAAACTCTGAACACCATCATCATTCATCCTAACATCAGAATATCAGGTTGACAGATTAAATATGTATTTGCACCTTGTCCCTATTTAACCAAGAAGGTGCCGGAATCTTGAGGAATGAATTTAAATGATATAGGAAGCCAACCAGTGAATTACATGCTTTTCAATGGAGGAAGGGAATTCATATTTTCAAGGCCTACTGTGTGTGCTAGGCACTATAAAGCCCCATCCATATGCCCAATCTTAGTTTCAAAAATTACTATTCACTTTTTTTGTCCTATATAATAGAAGACTAATATGCAAATTGTTCCCTCAACTGGGAGTTCAACCAGGGGGCGGGGCTGGCTGGCTAACTGCCCGTGGCCCCTTCCCCAGGCTTATCCCATCCCTAATTGGGTCAACGAGAACCCACCCATACACGAATTTGTGCACCAGGCTTCTAGTTTTAAATAATAAAATAGAACTCTTTGTATTATAATTTAAAGTCACAAAATGGTATTCTATTTAACAAATACACATTTTAAAAAAATTACTGTGAACTGCTTATTTTCTTATCCCATATTTTAAAAGGATTAAGCTGTTTACCTTCACCCAGAATTTTTCCAAGAGTTAGAAAGTTCCTGTCAATCATAACATCTTCCAGCTTTCGCTGCAGCTCCTCGCTGACTCCCAAGCTGCTTACTGGGAAGGAAGTGACAGGGGACAGATGAGCTGTCAGTGCGCTTCCCTTCATTGGAATATAATTAAAATTACACACAAAGCCCCACAAAACAGTTAAATGCTTTTTCCATTTTATACTCCATGGCTCTACCCCCCCCCCCCAAATGCCAGTAATAAAATATCCCACTTAATTCTACTATGATTACAGCAAATAAAACGAATCCTTCAGGCAAGATGAATCCTGAAAATGCCTAAACATCACAACCACATTTCTCCTTCCCATTTGCAGGATCAGCAACTGGCAATCAGATCCCCCCTGGGGAGGTTCACTCCTGACTTGAAGTGAGGAAGAGAAGTCGGTAGGTAGTTCCTAGTGGACTATGTACTGTTATGCCCTGCGGACAGGTCACAAAGGAGCCCGGGCACTTCCCTTCCTCTTTGTCAGGGAAGGAGGCCAGAAACCCAGGAAACACAGAGCACAAGTGCCGTGACATCTGAGCCTCGTCACACTGACCTGGCAGCGCGAAGCTCAGTACCTGGGGGAGGACTAGAGAGCAAGATCTTCTGTAATAAGGTGCAGCACTGACAGGAAGTGTTAGCAGTGAGAGCCATTAACCAGGGGAGAGAGACCCATTCAATGACTACTGGACAAATGACTCCGTTTGTGCCCCAGAAAGGCAGTGAGCAAGGCTGTGGAAGAAAACAACAGCTCTTCCGGTGTTGCTCAGGGGTTGGATGTTGACCTATGAAGCAGGAGGTCACAGTTCGATTCCCTCCTGACAGAGCACATGTGCGGGTAGCAGGCTCGATCCCCAGTGCGCGGCATGCAGGAGGCAGCTGATCAATGATTCTTTCTCATCATTAATGTTTCTCTCCCTTCCTCTCCCTTTCTCTCTGAAATAAAAAATATATATATATTAAAAACAAAACAACAACAAAAAACCATGCGGACAATCTGGACATTTTAAGCTCTTGGTAAAAAAAAAAAAAAAAAAAAAAAAAAAAAAATTTCTCAAATGGTCCTTCAATATAGAAAAAAAATTTGGTGTAAATTATGATTTTTTTAAAAATGTAAGAACATCTGCCCAGCTGCTGTGGCTCAGTGGTTGAGTGTTGGGTTGACCCATGAACCAGGAGGTCACAGTTCAATTCCCTGTCAGGGTACAGGCCTGAGTTGTGAGCTCGAGGATCAAGCCCACACAGGAGGCAACCAATCGATGTTTCTTCCTCCTCTCTCTCTCTCTCTCTCTCTCCTCTCAAAAGTCAATAAAAACATTTAAGAAATATAGTAACATCTAAAAGTCAAACATCTAGATTAGAAAAGGAAGGAAATTGTATCATTCTATATCACACGAGTTTTTATTTCACAGCGACCTGTATACCTTCATTCTTATATTTGGCTGTTATTTTGGTGTTAAGAAAACATCCAGAAGCTTAAATTTGAAAGTCTTTGCATATACTTTTGTTACAGGATTCAGGGCAGGAGGAATAGGGAAACTGAGACAGGAAAGTTAGAACAAGGCCTAGCAGTGCCGGGCAAGTTGCAGCCAGCTTGTAACTAACCAGCCATTATCCTCCCCAGCCAAGGACACAGAGCAAATGGTTAAAAACCTCCTTAAGGAGAGCAAGCAGAAAGATAGGGGAAAGCAAAAGGAAAAAAGGGCCGTTCTACCCCCTAAGTAGAGAAGCCAGCAGTCTCAGGCTTGGCAAGGCAAAGTTGCCAGGTGCTTCTCATGAATTCTGGGAAGGCCACAACAAAGTAAAAAAAAAGGGACCTTGAGAATTAATCTGTACCAAACTGGTCAGCAAAGGGATTCTGAGACCTACAGACAGGGAGGTACATAACCACTCAGATCCCCACCCAACCGCTCTTCAGATTAGCTGAGAGCGTCTGTGCTTCATAAGCCAGATGGGTAGGTTTGCTTGCTTTGTTTCTGCGTCATGCAATAAAGATGCATACTTTACTAAGTTGGTTTTTCTTTTCCTTTTCTTCTTTTTCTAAATTGGCTTTTCACAACACCGATTCATTTATATGAGAAGACAAGGGTCAAGGTTGAGGACAGCTCTCTCCACGAGCTCGGGGCTGTCCTGGCTGGTAACACCTCTCTGGTGTCAGTGAGAGATGCCTATAACACTTTCTACACAATTTCTGGAATTATTCAAGAATACAGAACTATGTGTTTACCCCCCCTGGTCAACGAGAAGAACGCCCACTCTGATTCAGCAAAGCATAAAATTGATACCAAGGGCGTCAGCAAATCGTTCTGAGTTGGGGGCCAGGAAATGTCAAGCTCTGAGCAGGCCAGGTGTTCTGCTGCTTCCTTTAAATCCCAGACCTCTACCCACATCTCCTACCACTTGGCAAGGCATTTGGAGGCTGTCACCTCATCGCCTTCACCCATATTTCCAGCAAGCTGGCTGGCAAGGAGGCACAGGGTCACGTCTGACTCCCTACCTGCCGCTTGCTGAATACATCTTGCAGGGTAACAACATCGATCCTTGGATGCCTCTGGCTTTTGTGAGAAATCTGTCAATGAATCTGTTGTTCCCTCTTTGCTCTTAATCATTTTTAACTTTTGCCGACAAAGAGAAATGGAAGTCAACTTACAGGTGAGTTCGATGGCTCGCCGACTGAAGGACTTCTTTGCTGTGTAATTGACCACCAGTTCCACATCCTCGCCTGTGAAGGCGTTCCTGGTGAACAAAACAGACATCTCAGGCTATGCAGGGGTGGGGAACGCCTAGCCGTATAAGGCCCATGAAATCATTTATTTGGTCTGGCCCTGCCAAGGCATTAGGGGTGAGTTAATTAAATGTTTGACCAAATGCAGCAAGCTAATTTTCAAGTTGATAATTCTGTATGGCCCTCTAATGATGTTATAAATATCCAAATGAACCTTGGCAAAAACAGGGTTCCCCACCCTGGGCTATAGCAACAGCAGGGGCTGACCCGACTGCCTCGGCTGTCCCTGATCCTTTTACTCTCAAAGTGCTTTTTAAAATCAGCTTGCCACTTATCAACAACCTTGCAGGAATCGACAAGATGATTATATAGAATTTAAGATTAATTTGAGGGAAAAAACGATCTCTCCAACAAAACAGCCCTCTCATCCGTGAGCATGGTACACACTTCCCCACTTATTTTTCTTCCACGTTGTTGGTAAAGTCTACTAACTTTTTCCACAAAGTTCTTGCACATCTGTTGGGTCTATTCCTAAGAAGGTGATAGTTTTCATGCTGTTGTGAGTGGGGGTCTCATTCCAGCACTTTGTCCTTCATGCATTTTAAAACCAGAATAAAAATATTTTTACATGTCATGTCCTAGAAAATATTTCCTCCTAAAGAAAAGCAAGAAAAGAGGGTGCCTAGGGGAGACTTTGGAAGAAGCAAAAAGGTACTGAACATCCAAAGACTGGGAAGGGCAACACTGCTATGTGCTCTTCCTAAATGTTTGGCTAAGCCTCAGAAGGCAAAGCAGCAGCCTCTGCTTCTGCGCCCACCCCTCCAGCACCCCTCAGATGCACACCTAGGGCCATCCTTGGGACCCTGGAGCTCAGTACCACCAAAAGCTCTGGACATCATCTCAGAGGTTCTGTCTTTACTGAGCCTACATTTGAGGTGATCTAAGAAAATATATCTATGCATCCTTTTTTAAAAAAATTTTTTTATTGATTTCACAGAGAAACAGAGAGGGAGAGATAGAAACATCAACGATGAGAGAGACTGATCGGCTTCTCCTGCAAGCCCCACACTGGGGATCGAGTCTGCAACCCAGGGATGTGTCCTGACTGGGAATCAAACCACAAGCTCCTGGTTCATGGTTGAGCCATGCTGGCCGGGCTATGTATCCTTCTATATCAATTACTGTTTCCTCAGCGATAGCGATCAATGCCCTTACTGGGGTTGTGCCCTCAACCAAGGTACATGCCCATGACGGGAATCAAACCTGGGACCCTTCAGTCCACAGGCTGACGCTCTATCCACTGAGCCAAATAGGTTAGGGCTCTTCTCACATTTTATTTGTACATACATATTCTGTTTTATTTTTGTTCATAATCAGGATCAGTTCAAAGGCTTCTAATAAAAGTGCTCATTTAACAGCAACTGAGTTTGAGCAGCAAAGGCCTGTTGATGGTCTTCTCGGCACAGACCCCACCGGGCTGCCTCTGTAGCGCTGGCCTCAGTGAGGATGCTGCCCGTCCAGAGTGAGCACAGGCAGGGCTCCCAGTTTGAACACCAAGGAGCAGGTCGGCAGGACAGACACTGTCACTTAGCGTAACCATCTATCTGACCGACACCTCTGAATAGAACATTTCGTTATTGCTGTTAATACTCACCCGAGGACATTTTTCTCATTGATATTTTAGAGAAAGTGGAAGGGAAGGAGGGAGAGAGTGAGAGAGAAGCATTGATGTGAGAACGACACATCGATTGGTTGCCTCCCAAATGCACCCAACCAGGGCTGGTGATCGAACATGCCCTTAACTGAGAATCCAACCCACAACCCTTTGGGACATAGGCTGGCACTCTAACTGTGGAGCAACACAGGCCAGAGCCAAACAAAACATGTTTCAACTGGGACACTTACCCAAACCGCGTCTCCTGGACTCTTTTTCTGATGGCCAGAGGAACATACAAAACCAGCCCAATCAGAATAAATCCGCAGAAGCAGCCGAGGACGATGAGCAAGGGGTCTGTATTGCCAGGTGTTGGAGCTGACGAGGGGGCCAGATCTACCCAATCTTGTAAAAACAAACCAATGGAAGCAATTCAGAACACCTCTTGGGATCCGAAACACATAGGAAACACTAGTTTGTAGTGGGGAAGAGCAGGTAATCATAAGTTTTAAAACCAGTCTCTCGAGTATCCATCTCCCACAAACACAGGCAGTCCTGAGATTGTGTAGATCTCAGACATCAATGGTAACCAGGTCAGCAACAAAGGCATATGGGAGGGAAAATGGTCAAATTAACATTCACTGTAACTAACACACTGGAAATGTGAAGAATTAGGCATGATTATTTCTTTGTAAACACTTATCAAGAGTGGTGTGGACAGCTGGCCTCCTTCTGGTGTGTAACTGGTGACGAGGACAGAATCTACTTTCTGTGCCTGGGCGTTGTTGCGCTCCATTCTAATTTGGATCTGCTTCTGACAACTTATCCTTTGTCCATCTCAGAGTTCCTTCGTGTGAAGGCCTTTGCCAGGGTACTTCTGTCTGGAACATCTCCCTCCTTTTGGGTACGATCACTTCATCCATGTGGGCAAGCTCACCTCCTCTGCGTCCCTGGCTGTGGATCTAGAATCTGTGAGCTCTTTCTTCCATAATTCCACAAACGTTCAACTCAAATTTCACTGCAACTCATTTTTCCTTTCTTTTCTACACTTTCATCTTTGTTCGCAACTCTCTTTCACATATCTCTTTCATGTCACTTGGGTTTGTCACTCAGAGCAGGGGGCAGCATGGTGATATGTCTTGAATGTGAGTGAATTGAATAATGCAAGCACAGTGACCAGCTGAGAACAGACTCTGAGAAGTAGCACACCGGTTGTGGTCACTATGAGCCTGTTACTTATATGGATTTGTGCACCGAAGAGCCAGCAGTGAAGTGTGTGTGTTATGCAGGTCTCACAGTTAATATACGATGGTAATTCACATTTGAACCATATTGTTAAGGAATGCAATTATTTCACTGAACAATGGTAACTGAAATGTATGCATATTGGAATTGTGCAAAGCAAGGACTGCCAATATAGCAAAGCTTGTTATAATTCTGACTTTTTGTTGTTAATCCTCACCTAAGGGTATTTTTTCCATTATTCTTCAGAGAGAGTGGAAGAAGAGTAGGGAGGGAAAGAGGTAGAGAGAGAGAGAAACATTGATGCAACAGATCAACCAGCTGCCTTCCACAGACGCCCCATTGGAGGCAGGGAGCAAACCCGCAACCCAGGTATGTGTCCCTGATAAGGAATCGAACCCATGATCCTTCAGTGCTTGAGCTGGTTCTCTAACCACAGAGAAACAACGGCCAGGGCTTCAAGTCTGACTTTTTTTTTTTTTTTTTAAATATATTTCATTGATTTTTTACAGAGAGGAAGGGAGAGAGATAGAGTTAGAAACACTGATTAGCTGCCTCCTACATATCTCCCACTGGAGATGTGCCCACAACCCTGAAAGGTCCCGGTCAAGGGCAGGTACATGCCCTTGACCGGAATCAAACCCGGGACCTTTCAGTCTGCAGGCCGATGCTCTATCCACTGAGCCAAACCGGTTAGGGAAAATTCTGACTTTTTAACCTGTGCATTTAGAATCGGAATCTTGTTGACTCTAAATTTCTACCAGGCTGATAAGTCTGGCGTCTCCATCATGAGTCACTAATGGTCCCAGGCACAGAGCTATGGGCCGCCAGACCTGATAAATGGCTCCAGTTCTGCATGTAAGGGAGAGTCTGTGAGAGGGTCACTGGAGGAGATCATCGGGGACTCACCAGCCTGCTCACAAGTCCCGTTTGCTGTGAGTACAAAAGCTGTGCAGGCAAGGACTTGTAAACACACAGGTCACACTGACACAGAGGCCTGTGCACAGAGTTGATGACATCAGTTTAACATCAAACAACCCAGGGCCAGACACAGTCAGCACAAAGCTGGCTTCCCCCATCTTCGGAAGTAAGCACAGTGTTTGGGCCACTTGGGGTACACGGTGACACCTTGCCAAAGAACACTCCAACAACATGCAGAAGCCAGAATGCAGGGCTGTCTGAGGGCGGCTTCTGCAAGAAACCTGCATGTTGTGGACTGAGCGATCATGAAGCTGCCTCAGGCCTGAATGAGCAGCACTGATTAAAACAGCAAAACCAACTACCAGTTCTAGAGAGCGAAGGGTCAGCCACACTGCCTTGCCAACATTCAGTCGGCACATCTCATTTAACTACATGCAGGAAACCGAGTCACACCCTGAGCGGACTGATCCTCCTGGTAAGTTAGAACCATTCGTAGTCACGCTAGTGGGAGGCGTCTCATACTGAGGTGTGATCCTATCGCTTTTCATTACCATGGCAAATTGGCCTCCACGTTTCAGCCTTAACCCAGCTGCCCATCCCACAGCTGGCAGCCCGTGTGGCCCGGATGGCCTGCTCCAGCAGCTGACGGAGCCCGGCTCTCACCGTGTGCGGAGACGAATATTTTCACGGGGTCACTGAAAGGCCCGACCCCTCCTGTGGTGACGGCGGCGATCCTCACGGTGCACGTGGCATTGTGGGCCCGAACAGGAATCTGAGCATGGCTGCCGTCCTGGCCGACGTCCTCAGACAGCTCTTCCTGGGGACGGACAAGGAAGTAAAGGAAATGAAACCCTGAGCTGCCCAGGGCACGCCGCCTACTCTGCCACAGTTCCTCCTGCGGGAGTCCTCCCCCCACATCCCAGGGGCCATGTTTCCACAGCGTCCTTCCTCGCTAGGGCCACAGCCAATGGAGCCAAAGTGCAGGGACACAGGGACACAGGGATGCAGGACTGGAAGATGGGCCGGCAGCAACCACCACTGGGAGGGCACAGCACTTAGGATGGCCCTGCAGAGGCCTCTGGAAGAGAAGGGCCATGTGGCCGATGCCCCCAGACCCCTCTGCATCACCAAGGACGTTCCCAGGCGGCACTGCTCACCTGCCAGCTTCCCCTGAGCCAGGACTAGTGGTCTTGTTCCTGGCAACTGTAAGAATTTTGTAAAATCTCCATCTAGGAGGTTACTGATGCTATTTTTTCCCCTACCAGCATGACAAATGCACAATTTGCCCAATTCTCCAAAATCTGGTTCTACTTCATTTTGTTTTAAAGCCACTGCCATGTCAATGAGTCGATAAAACGTGGGGGGTGGAGGGAGGCAGGAATTATTTTTGGAAGAGTAACCGGGACTAAGTGTTTAGACAGCACTTTCTCCTTTGCTTCCAAACCTTGACTTTAACGACGTTCGCTGGGGCAGGAAACTAATTGTCAGGTCTGGGCTGGCTGTTCAAACGGGAACACAGGGGCTGAAGCTCCCTGGTGTCCTTATCTCTGAATTCTGGAAATTTGATTTCACAGAGGGAACTGTCAGGTCACCTGGACCACAGATGTAACTTCATCTTCCAGTTACTCAGCCTCATGCCAGTCACTTCTCACCATCGTGCAGGGTGGAGCCAGCTCAGCCCTTAAGGAGAGGACAGTCCCATCACTCGTGACCAAGGGGAGACCTTGGTCAGCGACCTAGAGACTGTTTCCAAATCTGAGAGGCTGTGACCACCGGGACCCAGAAGGGCCCTCAGACAAGCAATGAAAAGGGAAAACACAGACTGAAAACGTTTGGGTTTTCTATCCCTATTTTATCCCATTTCTATCCCATGTTGCAAAAGGACTTGCCATAGGTGTTTTCAGGAAGTAAACTGTGGGGCACGACTAAGTGTTTGGACACGTTCAAGCCTCGGACTGATGAAAGGGCACAGTCCTCTCGTGGCCACGTGCAAGTCCCAGCCTGGAGGACAGAGCCCTCCCAGCACAATTATAGCCAATAGCTGTAGTTGTAAGCTAGAACCTATAGTTATAATACAACTAGAGGCCCAGTGCATGAAATTCATGCATGGGTATGGTCCCTAGGCCTGGCCTGTGATCAGGGCCATCTTCCCTGGCTGCCCCTGCCACCACCCACCCCCATAGCCCCACTTGCCAGGGGAAAGGACCAAAAGGTCAGCTGTTTCACCCACTCACTGGCCCTGCCCTGTGTGTGGGGTGACTGGCAGGGTGGGGGCCTTGGCCTGGTGCCACCCGCATCCCTCGCCACCCACCCCTACTTCTTTATTCACCATTGGGCAATTGGAGCCTGCTAGCTGTGGAAAGGGGCCAAGAGCTGGTCAGTGCACCTTATAGTGACTGGTCAAGCAGTCATTCTGGTCACTCTGCCATTAGGATCTGTTAGTATATTAGTCTTTTATTATACAGGGTATTGTTGTCTGTATTCATGTACCATGCATTAGATTCGCAGGACTTCTACTCTCTATTCGGTACAAGTCAGTACCAAAACCAGTTTTGATGATGGGTTAGCTGGCCATTCTCTAATTTATGAAGGACAGAAAATCACCAAGGAGAGTAACTCCCTGGTCCAAGGTCACAGTGCTGCAGCCCTGCCCTGCATGAGTCAGGCAGGCTTCGAGGAAATGTATCTACTTCCGAGTTTAGCACCTGACAGCTCTTCAACGTACAAGACCTTCTGCCGGACCCGGAACAAGGGTACTTTTGTCTACAAAGACTCAAAAACAAGACATCATGTATAAGAGAAATTAGCTCAAGATAAAAGGAAATGCATAACTGAGAAAGATTAAATCCCTAACCCTGGCTGGTGTTGCTCAGTGGTTAGAGTGTCGGCTGGCAGACTGGAGGTTCTCAGGTTCAATTCCTTGTCAAAGGCATGAACCTGGGTTGCAGGTTGAATCCCAGCCCAGTTGGGGCATGTGCTAGAGGCAGCTAATAGATGTATCTTTCTCACATGGATATTTCTCTCTCTATCTCCCTCTCCCCCTCCTCTTTCTCTCTCTCTCTAAGAGTCAATGGAAAAAATATTCTCTGGTGAGGATAAACAAAACAAAACAAAACAAAACAAAACAAAACAAAACTAATTAAACCCCAAGAAGGAGAGAAATCCTAACAACAGAATTATCCTTTTGGAAATCAACATCGAAGTACTTTGTGACACCTATTGGTTTAGGGTCTATTACCTACTATGAAAACCTAGAGAAATGACTTTTTAAAAACCTACCAATTTACCTATTTACTTTCCTATCACCATTTATCCCCTCTATGCCTCATCCACCTCCACCCACCCCCCTTCTCCCCACCACAGCGATCATCACACTGTTGTCCATGTTCATGAGTTCCCTCTTTTTTCATTATTTTTTACTCAATCCCTCCACCCACCCCAACTCCCCAACCCCCAGAGCTGTCTCTATCTATGAGTCTGTCTCTGTTAGTTTGTTTTTTGTTTGGTTATTTGTTTATTTTGTCCACTAAACTCCACATGTGGATGAAATCATATGACTCTTTTCTCTGACTGGCTTATTTAGCATCATGTTCTCCAGGTCCATCCATGCTGTTGCAAAGGGTAAAATTTTCTTCAGAGGAGTGACTTTTTCATTTCCACCTCCTGTCCCTTAAATGAGTAAAGAGCTAATAATCCATGTAAAATGCTTGGAATGGTGGTTGCCTTGAGCAAATGTCACCCAAGTGTGGCGATGGCCACCATCATAGCTATTATCATCATGCTGAAACCTGAAGTGATGCCAGGCATGGTCTATGGTCACACATTTTGGAAATGCATAAAAATTATCCCACCTTAGGGGTGGGATTACAATAGATTTTGAAGTAAATAGATTTTTGATTGGAAAAATATAAACATTTTAGTGGAGGCTGAGCCATTTTTTTCTAAGAATATTCTTAAATGGTAACCTCCAATATCGTTTTAACATATTACTATTTTTAAAAAGTGATGTCATTTATCCATTGTTTTGATGCCAAGTGTATAAAGAGGGGCATGATCATATCCATATCCTCCAGTATTTCAATTTTGATGTTTAAAGCGGTCAAAAATCCCACTTTAAACATCAAATCCCATTTGAAATCCCACACAGGCAGGACCACCCTGTGTGCAGGATCCCCCTCAGTGTCAGGTGTCGGCTGCAGAATGTGGGGCCGTGTTCCTGGCACGAGCTGGTCTGGTCATGGGCACAGGCTGTGCACACTGCATAGTTCTCATTAAGTGACCTTTCACTTCTCACCAACACATGCCCATATTCTCAAGGACTTAAGATATAGAAGGTTTTCAGGAAATGAAATTGAAAGTATAGTACAACATCGATTACAACTTTATTCACCGATAAGACCAGTGGACCTGGCCTGTTGGGAAATTTAAGAGCATGTCTTCTGAAACAGGATGTCTTGTGCGTGTTACATGGGCATTAGCTCATCAGCACGACCGTGATGGTGCTTGAATTCAGTTATTAAAAGACTTGCCCTAACCGGTTTGGCTCAGTGGACAGAGCATCAGCTAGGTTTGATTCCAGTCAAGGGCATGTACCGTGGTTGCGGGCACATCTCCAGTAGGGGGTGTGCAGGAGGCAGCTGATCGATGTTTCTCTCTCATCAATGTTTCTGACTCTCTATCTCTCTCCCTTCCTCTCTGTAAAAAAACAAACACTATAAAACATATATATTTTTTAAAAGACTTTAATATGTTCTCCTCTGTGAGAAGGCACAACTTATCTTTGTAATTCTAATTGAGAATATGACCCTTTTTATTGCCTTGAAGAACGGGACCATTCTTTGGGGCAAGGACTAGCAGATAAAGCTTCTGTCGTGCTACAACAACAAAGGTAGTTTGTTCGAAAGGGTTCAAATTCATAGGCACCAAAGCAAAACTCTCACACCTTCAAATGAGTCCTGTCCTTAGTTCTTTCTGCAAAGAGGCCACACTGTGGAATTTGAACAAGACACTATAGTATGAAGAAAACCCAGAGCATCTGGGGAAGAGCAGTGAGGCTCTGAAAAAATGCAGTTTTGGAGTCAGCCAGAGCTGGGTTCTGATCCCAGTGCTACCAACCCCGAGTTTTGAAAGTTACTCAACATCTCTGAGCTCCAATTTCCTCAAATGAACATTGAGAAAGGAGTATCTTCCTCAACATACTGTGAGTTCCTTCATGGAAAACACTTAGCACATGATCTGGCACAAAGGCTATTTCTTAATTCCTATACTTTATTTGTTCTTCTGTGCTGTATTTGTTCTTCTTTCCATATATGTATAAGTCCTTCTCACAGAAATGACTTTGTAGTATCTCTCAGGGCTGTCCTCTATCATTCACGGCCGTTCTGTTCCCCAAATTGTAACATTCATTTGGCACTTTGCTGGTTTCTCCTTCAGGCAAAATGCACTATCCTTGATGGATTCTTGATTAAAGTGTTTGAGACCTCTATCTGGCTTAACAAGAACCATGCCTATTCCTCATATCTAAAAATGACACCAGTTCAAATGCTATGCCCTCCTTTGACAGTGAGTGAGAGGGAGGATGGTGGGAAGGAAGGAGGGAACTTGCCTACACCCAGGAATGCAGCGTGTCAGGAGGCAGAGTTCTAGGCCAGCGAAGGAATCCTCCAACGCAATGGGGCTTTCCAGGGCTTTGAAGAAGTTGGTTCTCCATAATAATCTGCCATGAGACTTCCCTCTACCCTTCCAACCACAGCAAAACCAGCATTAGAGCCACAATCCCCCAACAGTGAGCTCTATAAGAATGACATGGATCAAACTGAGTGCTTAACATGGAGGCAATTCCCACATCAAAGTTAAACATATCTCTTCGCTGCAGAACATCAGAGAGCCTTGAACTTGCCAGTAGACACTTGGGTCTTCAAGAAAGAACATAATATGTAATATTTTATCATCTGATTTACTCACTGAATTCTTTTCTCCTGGAAGGTCTACTGATACCTTATGCGAATGAGAATGAGATAAGAAATACTAGTCCACACTCATCAAAGACTGTCCCATTCACTTTCAAGCCCAGTGTAAGTAGCAGCCATCTGCAGATTAGCTCATGTGTCTATGGCAAGACACAGGCGGCAGCAGACCTTGTCCTGCATAACCAGGGAGGCCCTAGAGCCAGCACACCATTTGGACAGCTTCAGATCACATCAAAGCACCTCCTAACCACCTCCACAAGCAACACACTCAAAAGACAGGCTCAGCAGGCACCCAAGTCCCTGTGAAATAAGTCCTGCTTGGTGGCGTGAGCCCCTGCATGGCTGATCCTCCACTGTGGTTACAGCTAATCCTTGCAGCCAATCGGCCAACGAGTATTGATGTGTCAACAGCAATTAATGCTCAACTATAATAGGAAGGTGTACAGCTCATATGGGGGGTGCACCTGGCATGCTCAGCTGAATAATCATGGAAGCTGTACCACAGGACCCTACAAGACACCTCCTATATAAGGCCACTCTAACCAAGCCTGGGAGACACAGCAGCTTTACCTAATACATAGAAACAAACACAGGGAGGCTACCAAAATAAGGAGACAAAGAAACATCCCAGAAGAAAAAATAGAACAAAACTCTAGGAAAAAAAAAGACAAACAAACTAAAAAAAAATGGAGAGAAGCAATTTACCAGATGCAGAGCTTAAAATACTGGTTATAAGGTTACTCAATAAACTTAGAGGAAGAGTAGATGAATTTAGTGAGAACTTCAACAAAGAGAGAGGAACATAAAAACAGAACCAGAAAACATAACGAGTCGTAAATGAAGAATATGCTATTAGAAATAAAGACTACATTACAGTAGTCAGCAGAGGAGTAGATGCAGTAGAGAATCAAGTCAGAGATTTGGAAGATAAGGAAGCAGAAAACACCCCATCAGAACAGCAAGAAAGAACTAATAATCCAAATATATGAGAATAGCATAAGGAGCCTCTGAGACAACTTCAAGTGTACCATTATTCATGGGGGTGCCAGAAAGAGAAGAAAGAGAGCAAGGAACTAAAAACCTACCAGTATGTGAAAAAATAATGGAAAACCTCCCTAACCTGGTGAAGGAAACAGACATGTAAGTCCAGGAGAGATGAAGTTGTGGCTAACTCTCGCCTCTTAGAAATGAAGGGTGTTTGAGAAATAGAGATGAAGGATGTATTTGTCAGGCTCCTCCCAGGGTTGACTGATCTTAAATTTTACTTGCCTCTTATTGCAGCTCATGAGCTGGAAGCTCAGCTGCATCAGAGGATTTGCCCAAATTAAAGTGAACCACAGACCCTTCTGTTGTCACAAGACCATCACAATGCACAACGTAAAAGCAGGATTGCAAGTGACCTTCTCTCTGGGATGATCCAGCATCTGGAAGGAAATAATGATTGGAAAGGTTACAGCCCTAACTGGCAGGACTGTTCTCATTGCAGAGGGAGTGATCTGAGCAAAGGGGAAAAGAATGCACAGCCCAGCTGAGTATTAGTGGCAGTGAGTGCTTTAGGCTCCATGCTGCATCATTCACAGGGCTTTCAGCACTCTTGCCCCTTCAGCTCGAGTCCCCACTAAAGAAGGAGCTATCAGCCCAGCTAGCATGGCTCAATGGTTGAGCATCGACCTATGAACTAGGAGGTCATGGTTTGATTTCCAACTGGTCACATGCCGGGTTGCAGACTTAACACCCAGTAGGGGACATGCATGAGGCAGCCAATCATTGATTCTCTCTCATCATTGATGTTTATGTTTCTCTCCTTCTCTTTTCCTCTCTGAAATCAACAACAACAACAACGACAACAATAATAATAAATAATAAGGAAGCTATCATCCATGCCAGAGGAGGGAAAAAAAAGGACCTGCCTGTAAATGTCTGCCAATGATCACTATCTTCTGCCAGCCAAGAAAGGAAAAATTCTCATTGACTCAAAACAAAATGATGTGCCTTCATGTACTATCTTAAGAATTGAGCTTTGTGAAAAGGATATTTTCTCTAAGATTTGATTCCCCTGTCCCAGCCAGGGTGCAAATGCAATTGATCCACAGGCACCTTGCACATGCTCTGGGACAAAAGACCAGGAAATGCGAAGCTCCTTCTCTTGTAGCTGCAATTCTAGCACAGGGTTTGACTGGTGCAAGTAACAGCCTGCAGTCATTTGCTATGAGACATGAGAAATCGTGGACTCTAAGTCCTCTTCTTTCCGTCTCCTCTACTTCCATCACCTATTGCATCCAACATCTGCTTCTTGGTAGGTAAACTGAGGCAATAAAAGAAAAAGAACAAGTCTCAACTATCCCACTGTAAAATAGCAATTTTGGTAAAAGTTGGATGATGTGAGATTGAAAATGACTGAAATGAGCTCAGACATCATCTGTGGGCGCAGCTGTTCCCCATCCCTCTCTCCTGCCAAGAAGCTGTTGCTTTCATGTGATGCCCTGTACAAATGCCACAGGGATGCCAAAAATCTGACCCACCACCGGGTTACATCCATCGGGAATGCGAAACACAAAACAAGGAGGCTCTTCGTGAAGGTGGTAAAGATAGTCCTGTGGTGAACCCAGTGTGTCTACCCCGTCACAAAGGACCACGAGTGACCTTAGCCCTTTCCCTCTCTCAAGTGAGGAGGGGGCTTGTCTGGGACCTGAACCCCCCCGCCCCCCCCCCCCCCCCCACGCCAGGGCTCAACACTCAGCTGCATCCTCCACACTTCTGACTTTGGTCAAGTATTCTCAACACAGCTGCGATCTTTATACCTCACAGTAACCAAGTCACTCTGGCTCAACTGGAGTCATGCCTAAAAAACTCACTCCCACTGGAAGGCACTGGCTGGAGCTTAGGGAGCAGTCACAGTTTCTCACATAGACCCTCTGCCTTTTTTTTTTTTGCTATTATGCAACGAAACTACTATCTACAACTGACAGTCCTTACTGAACTACAAAGGGTCTTGACATCTTTGTCGATAAGGCAGGAACTATTTGATGTTCTGACATCTCCATTTATCCCCCAGTTCCCAGCACAGACTATTATTATAACACTCAGGACAATTCTGATGGTTAATTTTATGTGTTAATGGTACCCAGATCTGTTGTCAAATACTCAGCTGGATGTTGCTATGAAAGGTATTTTTAGATGAGATTAGTATTTAAATCAGAGCAGTCCAGGGTGCCTTCAGGGTGGAGGGTGCCTTTCTCCGCCCAGGCCCTCTTTCCCAGCCAGTGTGTCCCTCCCCGGTCACACTGCTGGGCGGTGCGGGCTCTTCTCAGCGTTCTCAATGAGCAGCAGGAGAAGCTGCTGAGTGACCTGCCAGTTGGCCGTATGCTCTGGTAGAAAGAGGCAGATCTGAAGGTTACTTTTAACAAATTCATTTTTCTTAGATGTAAAAGAGTAATAGTCCTATCACCCATCTTCGTAACATACAACTCTCAAACTGGATTCCTAAGTTCAAGGTTCTCATTGGCTCCCTTGCCATCTGCCAAAGTCTATCAGACACCTTGGCCAATGTCCAGGGCCCTGCACACATGGCCAGGACTCCTGGTCCAGCTTCCCCTCACACCACACCCCTGAAAATATTCATGTTTCAGGGCCTTGAGTGAGTCATGATCCCCCAAAGCTGTCACATTATGCCTCATCTCTCATGACCTTTCTCCATCTGGAACTCCTCCATCGTCACCTGCCAAAATTATTCCAAACCCAGAACAAGTACCACCTTTACCGGCGAGGCATATGCACTGTCCCCAGCTTCCTTGCTGAGGAGGCCAAACCGCAAGGCCAACCACCCCTGACCCTGAGCCACATTGGGGCTGGTCACGTAGGCAGTGAAGTCGGTCAAGGTGGCTGCAGCGAGACCACCATGCACCTGCAGAGAGCATCGACTGTTTGTTCTCACTGCTCAGAGTGCCGAGCTCTTGTCTGGAGGACCCTTAGTGGCACAGCTCCATGGAGCTTGGGGCCGAGGAACCAATGCCACCAGGCTGATGCTCCAGCTCTCTGCTGTGCTGTGCCAACTGCTTTGCTCTGGTCGGTTGAGAATTGTGTCTGATTTCGCTCCTACAGAGCTGTGTCAAGACGGCCTGTTGCTTGCTGAGCCCTTTCCTTCAGAGTCAGGTTACCTTTTGCTATTTTCTAGGAGGCTGGGTCCTTCCCTGGCAGCCTTCTTCAGAAAAGTGTCCCTGGAATTTCAAGAGGCTATAAATTGCTGGCCTGCTAAGCCCTGTACCTTCTCAACCGCCTGCTGTGGTTATCTGGGTAGTTTCCACGACTTCTTACAAGAGCCAAACTCCCTGAAGGTAAGAATCAGGAGGGTTCTACACATAAGTACCCACTAAATGAATGAATTGATGAACGAGGAAAGGCCCAAAGATGTAACTTTCAGTAGCCTCCAATTTTTATGACACTCTTCATAACCCACTAAAAGTGCGTCTAACTCAGTAACACCTGGCATTCTCACAGCAAAACGAAAGCGTCTAAAACAGTTCTAAACCAGCGAATCGAGGAGACAAACGCGCTCCGCTAGCGCTCAGACTTACGGAAGCATCCGCGCTGTGCCACACGTGAGATATCCTGTAGCCCACCAGGTCCCCATCCTGCCGCTCAATGGGAGGCTCGATCCATCTGACGTCCACTTTGTTACTAGATTCATTCAGAAACACAGTGACGTTCAAAGGTGATACCGATGGGGCTAAAAAGGACAAGAAGAGAAAGATGAAGAACCACAAAAAAAAAAGCACACAGATACTCATCCCCTTTTTGGTTTCTGAATGTTCGGATGTTCGAATGTTCTAGGAAAGCACTCAAATGAGACAGAGACAAAGAGCAGATTTCCACCCTCTTCTCCACGAAGGACCATTGCGAACTAAAGTCAGCCCTTTCCAAACTAAAAGAATAAGGGAGAGGAAGGCAGGGAGGATGGCATGTGGCACTCAAGGACTCTGTTAGGGGAAGCAAAGCAGACACACTTGAACAGAAGCCGGCGGGGCAGAAGGTCAACTGACCGACTGGAAATCAGGTCAGGGTCCGAGAGACATATAAGGCAGGGAACTCGGCACAGCTGCAGTGACTGATGGGCTGAACAGAACTAACCAATCAGGAAATTACTTTATGTGTCAGACACTTCATTATTGGAGGTCAGAAGGTCAGATGTTAATTACTGGGCTAGGTGTAAAATGTAGTACTTAGCATTGGTCTTCATTCTTTGATTCATAGTAAATTCTACTAAGTCATACACCCACTTTATACCAAAATGTCCGTTATCTCGCACAAGGACATAGGATAATAAAAGTTAAAGCACTTTGGAATGAAAGTGTGTGTGTGTGTGTGTGTGTGTGTGTGTGTGTATACAAAGTAATTTGGGAAATAGATCAAGATCATTACTATATTCTTTTTTTGGGAGGGAAGAGCTTGGCTCTATCTAATAAAACCGAAAATATGTTCTTTGACCAAGTATTTTATTTCCAGAAATTTAATCTACAAAATCTCCTGTGGGTAGTATTATATTCATTGAAATAAAATAGAAACAAAAAGGAATAAATATAATGCTAATTGTGATATATGAAATTTTGATACCTTTGCCAATGGAATCTGGTCAGCAAAAACAAATTAGGTAGAGCACGTGTATTGACATGAAAAAATATCTAATGGAGGTAAAGATCAAATTGACAGCAAATATGCATCACTGATCCATTTTAGAAATTTAAAATTGTTTTATTTAGAGAGAGAGAGAGTATAAAGATAATTGAAATACTATAGGCCAAAACTGCCTGTACTAGTACTTAGGGGAGATTAAATAATATATTTCTGATACATCTGGAAACAAAGGGGTACTGTAACCTTCCTCGCCTCTGCTGACTCCAGGAGCAGTTATAAGGAATTTCAGCACAGGACATGTCATACAGCTGAGCTGTGCCTAGGAAATGAATCACATACTTTCAAATCTGAAGGATTTATGGCTGAACATGACCCACTCAACATACATGTCTTTATACCTGCTCCCTCCAAAGGGAGGGATTTAAAACAGTATAAACTCATAAGGTAAAGAGAAGTCAACAGTAGAAGAGAAATCTTAACATATATTGGACAGATGAAAAAGAGACGAAGGTGAAATGAACTCAAGCTGATCCTCCAAAAGGCAGCAGGAGAGAGGTTCAGAAGCAGGGGGCCCAGGCACTAAAACTGGAAGACTAAAAGTTTGATTGGGAAGAATTTAGCTCTTGACACTCCTCTAACCTATTCCCACACACCTGGCAAGAACTTCCCCCAAATCCCACAGAAGATACCTTATTCTATGAACTGAAAAGCCTCTGAACTAGGGGCACCCGTAGAATGAAGGCACCATAAGAGGCCAGACTGGTAAGTGGGGAAAAATAAGCCAAAGTCTGTGCCCTGAATGAGGAAGACACCACCTCACCTGGCTGCTAGAACCTGGAAGCCATGTTTCTATTCACAAGGCCGCAAACAGGAGACTTCTTTTCTAGAGAAAGTGAGCAGTCCCAGAGGAAAGAATAGCAATATTGATACTTGAGAGTATGCTAACCTAAATACTTAAGGTCACTGACCAATCACCTGACAGAGACGTCTACAAACCCCACCTACACTTACAGTGTCCAATCAAATTGCTGGTTCTCTACTCTTAGAAGAAGTGGACACTGGGGGATCAGAAAAGGTCAGGGAAGTCTCCTTCATGAATGTCCAGGAACCAACAACATAAAGGACAGAGAGCGCAGAAGAGATAAAGCCATTATAGGGACTAGAGAAAACCACAACAAACAACCTGATAATTAACATGCCCAAAGATAGGTAAAGGCTGGCATACTTGAGAACTGAAAAAAAGAATTGTCAATGAAATAGAAAGCTCTATCAGCAATATAAGAAAAAAATTAAATGTTTAATAGAAGAATTAGAAGAGAAATCAAGTAAACCTCCATAACTACAACTAAAAATTAAAGAAAAAAGGCCAACTTGAGAAAAGAAAATTAAGGAAGCAAAGAGGTCCAACAACTATCTAATACAATTTCTGGTCAGAAAAATAGGAGAATATTTTCAAAGAAAAAAAAAAGTATAAGAAAAAGTATCAAGCCTGGCCAATGTGGCTCAGTGGTTGAGCTTTTACCTGTGAACCAGGAGGTCCCAGTTCAATTCCCGGTCAGGGCACTACCCCTGGTTCCGGGTTCAGTCCCCAGTGGGGGTGGTGCAGGAGGCAACCAATCAATGATTCTCTCTCATTATTGATGTTTTTCTCTCTCCCTCTACCTTATTTTCTGACATCAATAAAAAAATGTTTTTTAAAAGTCTCAAAACCAAAGCACTTTCATTTCTAGAGCAAAAGATCTACCGATCAAAAGAACAACCACACACACAAAAACATAAAACAAATTATAACTAATAAGCAAACAAATTAAAGAGAGAAAATAGAAAAAAAATATTCAATTAACCCAAAAGAAGAAAAGGAGAGCTACAGATAGAAAAATAAAAATGTGAGATTTAAACTCAACATTTAAACGTAGTTTAAAGATGTAAATAAAATATGCTGTAAGCAAGATAATATAAATAATCACATTACATTTTAATGAGTTTAAAGACAGTCGCTGACAAATAAATGATGATGGCAAACAAATTCCACACCACAGCACTACGATTAGAGAAAGTATTTTAAAAATCAAACTAAATAGTTCAAATAGAAAGCTCAAGTATCAGAATTCTCCATAATGACTCATGAAGTAAAAACAATGCAGATATACTTTTTTTTTAAATTTGAGGAAAAGTAATTTACAACAAAAAATTCTATATCGGAAAAATTATCAATCCAGTATGACATGAAGACATGCGAGTTCCCATAGTTTTAATATTTTACATACTCTCCCTGGAGCTAATGGATAATGTGCTCCATGAAAACGAGGGAGTAAACCAAGAAAGACAAATGCCCAAGAGAAGGCCGTGGAGTCACTAGATGCTCTGGATGGAGACAGGAAAAGAAATACGTGAAAGAACTAAAGATAACGGTGCCTGGGTCTCACTAAGGACTAAGAATACTGTCTATCCCCAGCTATCACACTGGAAAATCTAATGGTATCACGGTCACTAGCCAGAATACACATAATCGTCTTATATCAATAGTGATTAGTAACTGACAGCGCTGTTCCTGTCCTGCCTCACAAATTTTAAAAGATCCAAGAGGAACAATCTTTTCCCAATACATTAACAATGTCCCAAAACAAAGCTCAATACTTACAGGAATACAGAAATATCTAGCATCCCACGAGGTTAAATAAATTCACAAATCTCGGGAATGCAATCAAAGATTACCAGCTACACAAAGAAATTGCCACATCTTCTATATAGCAGGAATATAAATAAATCAAAACTCCCCCAGAAATAACATAGATATTAGAATTAGCAAGGACATTAAAACAGTGATAACTGCATTCCATATGGTCCAAAAGTTAAGTAGAAATATGAAAAATACAAATAAAATACAAAAATTATAATATGAGAAATGAAATATACACTAGGTAAAATTAATGGCAGATTAGATACTGCACAAGAAAAGATGAGTAAGCCTGAAAATACAATAGAAACTATATTAAAAAAATAACCACAGAAAAGCAGGGGGGAAAACTAACAGAATATCAATGACTTATGAGGCAACTTCAAGTGATCAAATACACATGTAATTGAGTCCTCTAAGAAGGGAGGTGGGAATAAAAAGAATATTTGGAAAAGTAATGGTTAAAATTTTTTCAAATTGGATGCAAAACAAAAACATATAGATCTAAGAAACCCAATGAACCTCAAGCACAAGTAAAAAAAATTATATCGAAGCACACAGCAATTAAAAAGCTCAAAGTCAACGATGAAGGGGAAACCAGAGAAAAAATACATGCAGATACATTACATGCAGAGGAACAAATAAAGATTGTAGATTTCTTATCAGAAATAACTCAAGAAAGAAGACAGTGACACAACATTTTTAAAGTACTGAAAGTAAAAATGTGTGAACCTAAAAATATGTATAAGTCTATATCTAAAAAACAATCTTTCAGAAAGTTCTATTTGAGGGTCCAACATGATCCATAGAAGAGGTATAACATCACTTGACAGTAAACAGTGGTAAGTTAAACATTAACCCTAAAGCAACCACACACATAAAAACATAAAACAAGTTATAACTAATAAGCAACAAATTAAAGAGAGAAAATAGAAAAAAATATTCAATTAACCCAAAAGAAGAAAAGGAGGGCTACAGACAGAAAAATAAAAATGTGAGATTTAAACTCAACATTTAAATGTAGAGTTTAAAGATGTAAATAAAATTTGCTGTAAGCAAGATAATATAAATAATCACATTACATTTTAATGAATTAAATATCCCAATTTAAATGCAGATATTTGAATAAATTAAAAAGCAAGACCAAAGTTTATGCTCCTTAAAGGAAACACACTTTGAATATAAAGATTAACCTGCTAGAACTCCATATTGAAATAGATAAGTCCACAAATATAACTGAAGATATCAATGCTTCTTTCTAAATAATGGGTAGAAGTAGGTATCATTTGTAAAACATGATCAATCAACTTAAGGAAGTTGACATTTATAGAATACTAGAGGCTCGATGCATGAAGATTCATGCAAAAATGGGCCTTCTTTCCCCAGGTTGCTGGCACTGCCTTCGCTCTGGCTGGAGCTGCCTTTCCACCTTTCCATACTGCCCAGAGGCCGGGAGCACCTGGGGTGTTCTGCCCCACCCTTTGGCGACTCAGTGCCTGTGTATGTAAATTAACCCACCAACTTTGTTGGATTAATTTGCATACTCACTCCTGATTGGCTGGTGGGTATCAAGAAGGTACAGTTAGCATGTTACTCTCTCTTTAAAAAAAAAAAAAAAAAAAAAAAAAAAAAAAAAATATATATATATATATATATATATATATATATATATATATATATTGTTGATTTTTTACAGAGAGGAAGGGAGAGAGATAGAGAGCTAGAAACATCGATGAGAGAGAAACATCAACCAGCTGCTTCTTGCACATCCCCTACCGGGGATGTGCCCGCAACCAACGTATATGCCCCTGACTGGAATCGAACCTGGGACCTTTCAGTCCACTGACCAATGCTCTACCACTGAGTCAAACCAGTTTCGGCAGCATGTTACTCTTTTATTAATGTATTATAGATGCCATCTAATAAAAAGCAGAATACACATTCTCTTCAAGTGCACACCAAACATTTATCAAGATAGACTATATTACGGACCATAAAACAAGTCTCAATTAATTTAAAAGGATTCAGATGATACAAATTATGTTCTCTGTCAAAGTCAGCACACTGATCTCCAGAAACCCCCCAAATATTTGGAAATTAAGTTATACACCTAAATAACTAATGGATCAAAGAAGAAATCAGAAAGTATTTTGAACTCAACGAAAGTGGAACACTGCATATAAAAGTTTTTCTCAAAGGTTTTTCTTCCACATTAGAGAAAAGGAGGTATTTTACAATTTTGGCACTAAAGTTTCATTTGTGCAAGGATTAATCCCTAACAATTTCTATTTGGACCTGTCCTCTGTCTGTATTAAGACTAGACCACTGGGTGTATAAGACTGGAGTGATCTAGAGCTCTAACTGGGAAGAACGAAACTTGTGTGACTCGAATTTAACAGAATTCACTACTTATTCATAGGAAAGGAAAAAAAAATCTCAGAATTCAATAGCATACAGAAAATTCTTCGAAGTATAAAGATGTAATGAGTAAGATAACAGAGAGAACAGTATCTACTCCCTAGGGCTTCTATGAGGATGGAATGAATAATGTATGTAAGGCATCTATATGGTCCCCAGCACATAGGGTTTGGTGAACATTAGCCTTCTTCAAATTCATTAGTTTTCCTGAGTTTGATGCTATGAGTAGTAACACTTTATATTACTATATTTTAATTAACAATAAAATATGCCATAAAGAGTGTGCTGCTATTACCTTTTTATGCAAAAGAGAATATGACATATATGTAGTTTATAAGTTTCCCATTTTTACTGGCCACCTCCATAAAATTCTCCTCCAGAGACAAAGACCCAAGAAAACAAAATTTAAACTCTAAATCAGGCCACTGGGAAGGACTTAACCACATGCCATTAGAAGTAATATTCTGAACACCAGGAATTACCTTTTTCGGTCGTGCTGGCCAGGATCCAAGGGCTCCGGGCAGACCAGCCAATCTCATTCCTGCAGGACACACTGATGCTGTAGTTAGCCAGAGCTTGCAGCTGCTGGACTTGATAGAGAGATGGAGAAGCAGAGGTGTTAAAATTCATGACGGAGCCATTACTCAGAGGATCCACTTCCTTGACCTAAACAAAAAGTGAAGACGTGGACCCGGCATTAGTAAAGTGGTGGGAATGTCAGACGTGGAATCTCAGGCATCCTGTGCACGTGGCCCTCCCTCTCCACGGAGGGAAGTACCTGCTTCCTTCCGGGCCACACACCACATTACTGAGTGTTACTCATGCTGCCGGAGCAACAATTGAGGTCCTGAGCAAAAGGCCTAAAATAAGCGTTCTCGTTGTGGTAGGCGACAGAGCAAATGATTACCGGTCTGTTACAATTATTATAACACATTATAAAACAGGCCCTCCTCTCTCAGAACCACCTCAAGTCTCAATTTCTTTCAGCTGTTTCACAGGATATGCAACAAAGTCAACTGACACAGGGTAGCAAAGCCTAACATATAGGGTGTCCCCCAAAAATGTACAGACAGTGCTCTAACCGGTTTGGCTCAGTGGATAGAGCATCAGATTGTGACTGAAGAATCCCAGGTTCGATTTCCTTCAAGAGCATGTACCTTGGTTGTGGGCACATCCCCAGTAGGGGGTGTGCAGGAGGCAGCCGATTGATGTTTCTATCATTGATGTTTCTAATTCTCTATCCTTCTCCCTTCCTTTCTGTAAAAAAATCAATAAAATATGTGTTTTTTTTTAAAGTACAGACAGTGAATAATAATAAAGGCAATGTTTATTAAAATGCATTTCATTTTAAAAATTGAGCTATCTGTTGTGTATATAAATTTTTGTGGGGGCACCCTGAATTTACTATCTAGACTTTTAAAGAAAACCTTTCCAAAATCCTACTTGAGAAGATGGAATACTGGATTTTGTTTTAATCTGCTTTTCTTTTCATTGTGTAACCTGAGGACCCTCTGCTCTTCCTTGAAGAAATTTTAGTGTTGTCCATTGTTCTTAATTTTTTAAAAAGATTTTTAAAATTGATTTTTAGAAAGAACAGAAGGGAGAGAAATAGCGATGTGAGAGAGAAACATCAGTTGTCTTCTGCACACCCCCTACTGGGAGAATGAGCTTGTGACTTAGGCATGTGTCCTGACCAGGAACCAAACCAGCAACCTTTTGATGCATGGGACAATGCCCAACCAACTGGGCCACACTTACCAGGACACATTATCCATTATTCCCCCCTCTCATTACACTCCAATATAAATTCGTTCCAAAAGCATACACAGATAATTCAGACTTTATGACATTTTTTTAGTGGGGAGACATAGGAAAGGTCATTTGCATCTCACCCAACCAACTTTTCTGTAAAGCTCTTTAAAACGTCAGCTCTTTCTCTGAGTTCCTTCTCTTCATCATTCACAAATCCCACCAGGCGTCCTCTGTACGCACAGGCAGGAGAGGGGATTCCCAGCAGAAACCTCCCTCTTGTCCAGTAAGCACACCTCCTGTGAGTGAGGGTGTGCGAGAATGGATATCTTTTCACTGCACACTTTTCAAAACTTCTATAAAACTTCTATGATATGGAGTATTTATAAGTCATAAAAGACAAAACGATATTAAATACATAAAAAAAGAACCAAGAGCAATTTTTTTGGGGGGGGGGGGGAATCTTAAACCCTGCATCTATTCCTCATAGTACTGGGCTAGCAATCACCGGTGTGGATACACGAGTCTGTTATTACAGGATATAGGTATCAAAATGTAGGCCAAGAGGCATTCAAATAACATTTTGGAATTTGGGATCTGCTACATGATACTGAGCTGGTGGGGCCTCACCTCCGCTCTGACTAAGAACTGGAGACTCCACTGAGCGACAAGAAGCCCCAGTTGGCCTGAGGAGCCCCCAGAGGAAACTCAGTGAGCTACACGCTCAACTGGGTCCTGGCTGTTGGCAGAAGTAACTTTGTTTCTTCACTTTAGAGTATGCACCTCCTTCCTGGTGACCGACCCTGGAGACCAAGGTGAGGAAGCCTGTGGCTCTCCATCCACCATTTGGGGAGCAACTTGCGGAGCATTTCCAGGCACAAGACGCACTTTGAGAGCCGTTCCTGGAAGAGGACGGGGTTTCTATAACAGGCTTCTCAGTAGTCCTGGGGGAAAAGAGGGAATGAGATGGCAAGAAGTACGTGGGACCGTTAAAAATAGACCTGGAGTAGGCAGCCCAAAAATGGGTGAAGAAAGGAATTCATGTCAGGACCACAGGAAGCGAGAGGGTGTGTCCTCCTTCGCATGGATCTGAACCTCAGCCAGAACATTCATTTGTTACCGAGTCAGAGTTTAAAACTGTAATGGACTGGGAACCTGCTACAAAACTATCCTTGGTCCCTTAGAAATGGGAATATATCATTTATCTGCAGAATATAAATCATAACTTCTCAAACCAACCCTACTAATCCTGTTAGGACTGCAGGAGAAAGTAAAAAACAAAACAAAAACCACAGTTATGTTTGAATATCAGGTCAATTACAAATAATTATACGTATGGCTATGTCACAAAATGACTGGTGTAATTTAACTTGTAAGATTACTTTCTCCTCATTTGTTAAATCTGGTCACCTTACCCAAGATGGAAAGGAGAGTGGGTGAAGAGAGGCAGAGCTGGCTGGTGGGGCAAAGACAGAATAACCATGTCGGTGGCACAGGATCTAAGGCAGGCTGCAACTTTGTGCTCACAGGGTGATTGTTCACTCAGGCCATGGCCACCCAAAGCTAAGGTGAAGAGAGAGAGAGAGAGAGAGAGAGAGAGAGAGAGAGAGAGAGAGAGAGAGAGAGAGAGAACACAAAGAGGGAGAAAGAGCAGGTGAAGTGTATGTCATCATCTTCCACTTCATGGTGACTTGGTGTTTTCTAACCAGCTCACTCTACTTCATATCTACCCTGAGACCCTTCTCTCAAGGCGGGGCAGTGCTTCCACAAAGTCCTCCTGAAGGCAGACGTCCTTGTGTGGAAGGAGCCTCATGTCCTCTTGGACTCTACAAATAGCTCAGCAACTTGGTAATGTTTTTAAGGGGCTGTCCTCAGCTATGTCCCTATATGGGGACAGTCATGCCCCTACAATAGGAAACAGGCCGTCGTAGTTCTCCAAAACAGAACCCTGAGATACATGAAGCAAAACCTGAAATGACAGGAGAACTAGACAATTCAAAAATAACAGTTGAGACCTCAATTCCCCACTTTCCATAATCGATAGAACCACCAAGCAAACGCTCAACAAGGAAACAGAAGAACTAAACAAAACTATGTGCTAACGCAACCTGACAGACGCAGAACAGCTCGCCCAGCCCCAGCCAAATACACCTCCCCCAAGTGCACATGGAGTACATTCCACCCAGAGCAGAAGCTATGCTTGGCCATGAACAAGCCTTGATCAATTTAAAAGAATGGAAACCAGTGTATCCTCCAAACACAAGGGAATGGCATTAGAAATCAACAAAGAAAGAACATTTGAAAAATGCACAATCATGTGAAAGTTTAACAACACATTCCTGAGTAACCAGCAGAAACGAAGAAACCACAAGGCAAATGACAAAAACTTGAGAGGAGCTGAAGAAAACCAGAAAAATACCAAACTGTAGGGGATGCAGCTAATACAGGGCTTAGAGGGAAATGAGTAGGATATGTGCCCATAATAAAAAAAGGAGAAATTTAAAATAAATCATCTAACCTTCCACTGTAAGAAACAACAACAAAAAGAGAAAAATAAGCAAATAGAAGAAAGAAAGTAAAGATTAAGGCAGAAATGAGTGAAGTAGAGAACAGAAAAACTCACAAAGGCAAAAATTGGTTCTTCACAGAGATACTAAAATTGACAAATCTTCACTTAGATGGACCAAGAAAAAAAAAAAAAAGAGGGAAGACTCAAATTATTAAAAGCTGGAATGATAAAGGGGCAATTGCTACGAGCCTCAAAGAGAAAGATTATAATTTGAATATTATGAACAACCGTATACCAACAAATTAGGAAGCCCAGAGGAAATGGACAAATTCCTAGAAACACACAAACTAGTAAAAGTGATTCAAGAAATAGAAAATCTGAACAGATCCATACCAAGTAAAAAGATGGAATAAATAATAAATAATAAAAAAAAACTTCCTATACAAAAAAAACTCAGAATACCCTATCTGGTTTGGCTCAATGGATAGAGCATCAGCATGTGGACTGAAGGGTTCCAGGTTCAATTCCTGGTCAAGGGCACATGCCTGGGTTGTGGGCTTGATCCCAAGTAGGGGGCATACAGGAGGCAACCAATGAATGATTCTCTCTCATCATCTCATCATTGATGTTTCTATCTCTCTTTCCCTCTCTCTTCCTCTCTAAAATTAATAAAGATATTAAACAAACAAACAAACAAACAAAAAACCCCCACAAAACTCAAGACAAGATGTCTTCTCTGGTGACTTCCACCAAATATTTAAAGAATGAACAGTGATTCTTCACAAACTCTTCCAAGAAATAGAAAAGGAGGAACACCTCCCAACTCATTCTACAAATCCAGTATCATCCTGATACCGAAACCAGAAGAAGTCAATACAAGAAAACTACAGCTCAGTATCTCTTGTGAATACAGACACGATTACACAGTGGTGATGGTTTCACAACTCTGTGAGGAAAAATTGAAATAGGATGAATTCAAATTCTAAGCAAGGTTACAGGCAGAACTTCCTTTTTTTTTTTTTTTTAAATTAAAAAGCCAGCCTTAGTGGTTATCTCGATGCTGGCCTTGAAAAACAATGCTGTTCTATCCAATTAAAAAAAAAATGCACCTGGCATGGTATTGAGATCATGGGCATATCTAGTCTCTGGCCTGCAAGGTCAGACAGCTAAGTTTATCTTCATCATTCTTCAAACGGGCTAAAGCAAACTAGAAAGCAACATTTTATCTAGGAAGAACAGCAGAAAATTCCAAACAACAGTTTGTTGTTTGGAATGGGGGTTTTCCTTCTCAGAACCTTTAAAAATAACTACCTGCCCCTAAAACCTTGCAGTCATTTGGAGTCCACCTGCATGTGGTGCTCTTGTGGCTGCCCTGGCCAGTTCAATAAATTCTTGTCTGCTTTTTAAAATAAATTATCAGCCTCCGGTGGTCTTATTTTGAATCCAGGGTTCGACCCCACAACAAAATCACTGCATTGTACACTTCAAGTGGTGAAACATATCTCCAGAAAACGCTGTTAAAGAATAGCCCTGGTGAGGATTTTGTAGATACAAAGACTTGACACTTATCAGTACTTGGGAGGTTTACAAAGCAGGCAAGCACTTACCAAGGCTGGGGATGGCGGGGAGGGGGGCTATTTTAAAGATAACACATGTGTTCACTCTTCAAAGGAGCAGCAGCAGTTAGATAATAGTGTGAGGCAACAAGAGCAGGGAGTCTAATTCCATTTGGTATTAAAACATCTGGTTGTTGCCCGGCTGGCATGGCTCAGTGGTTGAGCATCAACCTATGAACCAGGAGGTCCCAGTTTGTTTTCCTGTCAGGGCATATGCCCTAATTGTGGGCTTGCAGGAGGCAGCTGATCAATGGTTCTTTCTCATCACTAATGTTTCTATCTTTCTCTCCCCCTCTCCCTTCCTTTCTGAAATCAATTAAAATACATTTTAAGAAAACACAAACAAAAACCCATATCCAGTTGTCAACACAAAATTCTTTAGAAGTCACTTCCTTACAGTGAGTGGGTGTAAATGGCCCATCAGGTTGACATGAGTTTTACTAAAAAGACCAGACATTTATAAGACTAAGAACAATTCTTGACCCTACTGCATGATTAAGTACCAGGCAGATCACATTCCTGTTTTCAGCAGACAATCCACTTGTGCTCACTACCTGTTTCCACACGCCATGTCTCTCCGGACCCACAGAGGGTTCTGAGCACTGCTTGTGGCATAAGCTTCCCAGGTTTGACCTCAGTGTTGCAGCTCAGGGCTGAGCCTGCAGAGCTGGTGTGGGTTTCACTGAGGGAATCTGCAAAGCCCTGGGGCCGGGGCACTTGGGAAAGAAACAGCTGAGTTACTTTCCATGTTTACAAAACTAACAGAGCAGAGTTTACCTCTTGGCATGGAGTAATTGCAGGATGGCTAACCTCTCTTTTCTACCATTGGAGGTAGTGGTTAAGATAGGTGAAGACTTGCAAAGCCTGTGAGGCCCAGATCTCCCGGGGACCACCGGCTAAGGTGCTACATTCATGGCCACAAGCCAAGGATGATGAGTATCTAGCTTCCTGAACTCCTGGTCACAAGCCAGTCCTACCTTAGGGATGCATTTTTAAACCTAAAAATCAATTCTCCCCGGCTTCACGGTTCCCTCTGGCTGGCCCTGGCCATGCACAGCAAGGAGGCAGGCTCTAGGGTATGCAGGGGCACAGTGAGCCGGGAGGAGGACAGGACTCTCAACGGAAGTGCTAGAGGGAGAAAAAGGGAGAGAGACCTACAGGGCACCAAGCGGGCACTTCCCTCTGAATCCTGGAGGTTTGTTTACCTGAATGTTGCAGATGCTGAACGGGGAGTAGCCATCGAAGCCCGGGACCCAGGAGATCAGGACGCCGTGTGAGCTCCTATTGCGGATGTTGACCTCAGCTGGTGGGGAGGGAAGGACTACATGAAAAAGACACACACAAATGCAATTAGAGACCACAGGAGGCCAAGTGACCAAACAGACACATTAATACCACGCCAGTTCCCATTTCTTAAGATTAGAAAAATTAGGTAAAAGTTTCAAAGAGGAGCCGCCCTATGCCTGAGGTGGCTGTGTGAGCCTGAAGACAGGTCTTCCTGTGACGGGGTGCTCTGCCTGGCCATGGAAGGGGGACCCAGGCCTGCTTCTCTGCCCACTGATGAAGGGAATGCTTTCAGCTGGGAAAGGATGTGCAGAGGCCCAGCTCCTTTACTGAGTTCGAGCCCATAGTCCTACTGTGTGAAGGCAGCTTGCTGGACAATAAATGGGAAGAAGTGACACAGACCTGTCATAGCGGGGCTCTTGCTTGAGTTGGGGAGACCCGTATGATCAGAGGCTAAGAGGGCCCAGTGAGGAGAAGAGAGGGGTACCACAGAGATGGGGTGCACATGTGTGTAGGGGGTAGAAACTTCCAGGCCAAGGAAGCAGGTGAAAGTCAGTTCAAGCAAAAAGAATCTATTGCTTGTGGTGTGTGTGTGTGTGTGTGTGTGTGTGTGTGTGTGTGTATGTGTGACCGTAACGAGCATGCTACATCCTCGGCAACATGTGAGATGTGGACAGGTGTTTCAATCAGAATCTAAAGAGGATCTGAAGTTTTGTGTGTGGGGTGTGTGATGTGTGTGTGTATGTGTGTCTTATTTTCTTGTGCTAAATTGAACTCTTAAAATAATAATCACACATAATAAAAAATGGTGACTGATGATGCTGTGTGCTTACCATGTGCCCCCTTGTCACGGCCTCCACCTCATTTCCTTATTATTAGAACCCTAGCAGAGGGGTCGTCTTACCGTCCCCATTACAGATGAGGAAACTGAGGATCAGAGAAGTTAAAGCCTGGGAAAGGCCACAGAGCAGGGCCACGGACACTTGAACTGGGGTCTGCCTGACCCCAGTGCTTGTGTCACTCACAGGACACGAAAGGCTGGTTGCGGGGGCAGCGAGCGGACCGGTGTGAGCACCAGCACATCTGATCGCCACTTGGCCTGGGATGTGGCCCGGAGACAGTGGAAAGCCCTCTGGAAACTCAGCTCCCTCTTCTGTTACCGGGACCGTAACGGTCCTGCTGCATCGGGCGGTGGTGAGGATTAAATGAGGTGACGCGGGCGGGCGCGGGGTAGGGAGGCGTGGAGGTGGGGAAGCGAGGACAGGATGGGCCACGTTAAGCTCACACAGGGTGCCACGCTCAGGAGTTCCAGTTTAACAGCAGACGTGCAGCTTGCTGAGTTGGGGGGAGACAAGCATTCTGTTCGGCTCCTCTTCATAGAGCAGTTGTAGACCTGCCCTAAAGGCCGGCCTCTCCACATCAGAATCAGGCCCCGGATGCTCCAGGCAACAACAGGCTGGAAGAAGGGAGGCTTGGCGTGGCATACATTTTTAAATAAGTAAGAGCCAAAAGCCCGAGTTTTGGAAACAGGCTTTATTTATTTATTTATTTTTTTTTATTTTTTTTTTAAATCTTAGCTGAGCGTTCGTATGAAACAAAAAACTAAAGAAGTGCTTCACCTTTTGTGGGTTTTTAAATTTTAAGATGCTTATACCCGATGACAATGACTTTATAAATGTATGCCCTCACAAGCTTTGAAATTCCAGCACGTCCTTTGAAAATCGTAATGACGGCCTTTGGGTCGGAGGAAGGAAGCTCCCAGCCCTCAGCGCCCACATGGGCTGCGCTCGGGTTTTCCTGGGGTGAACTTTCCGAAAAGGCCCCTCATTAAGAACAAACACTGAAACCCAAAACTTGGCCGAGCTTCTGTGAGAGCGGGTGAGGAAGGTGATTTGAAGAGGCATAAACAGACAGTATTTATGTTTTTGTTATTAGGTTTTAGGTTTTCCTTTCCGTTTTAGTTCAGATTTAAATGCCTCTGATCCCAGGGACAGAGGAGGAAGAGGCAGTGCATTGGATTGGAATGTCTCCACCAGCTGGGGCCTTCCATTACCTCATGCCCCAGCTCAGCGGAAGCAAAGGGATGGGAGGTGAGGAGAGAAAGACGGGAGGCTGGGCCCGGAGGAGAGTGACCCTGGCCTGCCCTTCGCCCGCCTCAGGGCGGCAGCTGGACGACTGCTTTCCTCCCCCCTTCCCCTACCTCCCTCCCCCCCTGTCCCCCTGCCATCCCCCCTCCCCCCCCCTGCCCTGGGAGGGATGGAGCCCATTCCTGGACCAAGGACGCAGCTGTCCCAACCCAGGCTCTCTTCAAGGGCTAACGGGGTCTAGCTGAGGCTGGAAGAGGGAAGTGAAGATGGGTTAAGATGGTCATGGTCAACATTTCAGCCTATTTTCTTTCCAGACCCCGCAGAGCTAAACTGGCAAACGTTTACCAAACTCATGTGCCAGGCACTGCTGTGAGCGCTTTGGCTGGTGTGATCTCATTTAAGCCTCGAGACCAGGTAGGTTGTGTAATGATCCCCATTTTACTGAGGGGAACACCAGCCAGAGAGGTCGGTGACTTGTCCAAGATCACAAAGGCAGACAGTGGGGAAGCCTGCCCCCCCAACCCCCCACTCCGCCCAGGGACTGGCCCTGCTTCTCACCTTTGATGTTGACCTGAACGCCCTTGGACACGGCCAGGCCCTTGTCATTGTGGGCTTCACAGCTGAAGAAGGCCGTCTCGGTCAGACCTGAAGGGGAAGGAGAGTGTGAGACCAGCCGTGCGGTGTCTGGGCACGCTGTTACTTCTTGGTTCACTGCTTCAAGTCTTAAACGCAAAGTTAATTTTTAAAATGTTCTGGTGTTGCCAAAACCGGTTTGGCTCAGTGGATAGAGTGTTGGCCTGCAGACTGAAAGGTCCCAGGTTCAGTTTCGATCAAGGGCATGTACCTTGGTTGCGGGCACATCCCCATTGGGGGTGTGCAGGAGGCAGCTCTGACCCGATGTTTTTCTCTCATCGATGTTTCTAACTCTCTATCTCTCTCCCTTCCTCTCTGTAAAAAAATCAATAATAATAATAATAAAAAGTTCTGATGTTTTGGGGGAAAAATAAAAACACGCCTGGGATTAAGCCGGAGGCACCAGCAACAACAAGGGGCCTGATAGGCTGCTCCTCCATTCAAATCCTTTCATTTTCCCTGATGGTGAGGCACTAGCTAACAAAGCAGTATGCTTTCAGTTTTTAGATTTTTACAAGAAGGTGGGACTCGCTGGCTCCAATATTAAGCAAAGTGGTTTCTGAGGCTCCCCAGATAGTCCTCTGTGGCATAGCCACCCAGGACACTTCACAATTCCCCAAACAGCAGTGCAAAAACCAGTTTAAAACATTTCACATGGCCTAGCTGGTTTGGCTCAGTGGACAGAGTGTCAGCCTGGGGCCTGAAAGGTCCCAGGTTCGATTCTGGCTAAGGGCACATGCCCGGGTTGTGGGCTCGATCCTGAGTAGGGGGAGTGCAGGAGGCAGCCGACCAATGATTCTCTCTCATCAGTGATGTTTCTATCTCTCTCTTTCCTTCTCCCTTCCTCTCTGAAATCAATAAAGAAATATATTTTTAAAAATTTCAGATGATCTGCTGTAACGAGTCCTTAGTAAAAATCAGTCGACTCAAGGAATTATACCACTGTCAGGGATTGTTACTACACAAAGATAATAGTGCTAAATAAAAAAGGATTTTATCATTCCTTTTGGTGTGAAGACCTCTGATTTATTAATTTCGAGTAGAAAGAAAGAGAGGTAATCCTGGTCTAATTCCATTTTCCAATGAAGAAACATGGGCTCCTTGGAGAAATGGTTGATTGTCAGTTGGGGCAAGAAACATGTCAGATGAGCCTGGGACAAAAGTAACACACACACACACACACACACACACACACACACACACACACACACTCACACACACACACACAGATGGGGGTGCAGCAGAGACATGGGAGCAACTGAAAGCATTGCCAATGACCACAACTGGAACAGCTGGAGCAAGAAAATAAGTGAAGTGCCATTGGATTGTAATGCAACATATTAAACAAATGTCCACGAGTCTATACGGATATTATAAATAATTAAATAAAGGGGGGAGACCAGACAAACCTCCCCAGTAATGAATGTGGGTCCTCTGCCCTCAGGAGGAGCATCACTCACCCTACTTAAGCGCAGGTTGCACCCAGCAACTTCCCTCCAAAGAGGACAGTGTGGAAAGAAAAATAAAAGGAAAAATTTAGTGTGGAGAAACTGGCGAACACTGGCTCACCCAGATGATCAAGGTCAACACCAACAGTAAGTCACGTTGACAAAATGCATCCTCAATAAGATGGGATGTAAATGGCATTTCCCCTCTGCAGTCTTTCTCCCCAGAACCAATAAACCAAGTCTATTCATGAGAAAAAACTTCAGACAGGTCCAACCATGGGACACTCTACAAAAAACCTGTCCCGTCCTCCTCAAAACTGTCAAGGTCATTCTGACTGCAGTGAGAAGGGAGGAGGGTTAGAGGGCTAGGTGGAAAGATTAAGGAATTAAAGCAAAGCAAAAACAAAACAAAAAACAACCCTCACAGACACAGACAATAGAATGGTGATTACCAGAGGGAAGGGGAGTGAGAGGAGGTATAGAGGGTAAAGGGAATAAAAGATGATAGTAAGAGATTTATTTGGGGTAGTGAGCATACAATACAATATACAGATGATGTAGTATAGGATTGTACACCTGAAACCTATGTACTTTTATTAATCAACTAGAGGCCCGGTGCACAAATTTGGCACCAATGGGGAGGTCCCTTGGCCAGGCTGTGGGATCAGGCCAAAACCAGCTCTCTGACATCCTGAGGGGTGCTGGATTGTGAAAGGGCGCAGGCCAGGCTGAGGGTTTCAACTGGTGCATGATCAGGGCTGAGGAGAGACATGGGAGGTTGGTCAGCCAGGGAGGGGCTGTGGAGGGCTTCAGGGTGTGTCTGGCCTGTCTCTTTCAGTCCCAATTGGCCAGACCCAGCAGCAAGCTAACATACAGATCAGAACATCTGCCCCTGATAGTCAGTGCATCTTATTTGAGCGGGAAAGTGACCGCTCATAGCAAGCGGTTGAGCAGTCTTAGCATATTGTGCTTTGATTGGTTGAACAGCCAACTGGCCAACTGGTCGATGGACACTTAGCATATTAGGCTTTTATTATATAGGATGTCACCCCAATAAATTCAATAAAAACATATTTTAAAATAACTGTCAAAGCCATTAAAAAACAAAAACAGTTGGAGAAACTGTCACAGCCAAGAGGAGCCTAGGAAAACGTGGAAACTAAATCCCGGAGGAAATCCTGGAACAGCAAAGGGATTAAGTAAAAACAAAGTAAGTGTGAACCAACTTCGGGCTTTAGTTGGTAACAGGACATCGGGCTTTAGTTGGTAACGGTTCATTCATTGTAACAAACGTGCCACTGAGGAAGATGTCAGTATGAGCGGAGAGTGGGGGTGGGAATTCTCTGTACCACTTCCACAACTTTTCCACAAGTCTAAAACTATTCTAAAGAGGGAAAAGGTTATTTTTAAAGAAAATCACGGCCATAGATGCCCTCTACTTTCATCCGGAAACTTCTCTATGCCTGTCTCTGGCACAGAGTCCACATCATGAACCGGAGGAAGGCAGTCAGATAAACAGAATTCCTGAAAACACACCACCATTTGCCTTTTGCCTGAAGAGTTTATTTTGTTTTCTTCTGTCTATCTACTTGTATAGGGACCGTTCCATCTGGTAACTATAAAATTCAAAGCTTGTCATGAACAAAGAATGAAATGTTTAAAAAACCAAAAGGGACCACGCTGCCAGGCATGAACCAAGAGACGCTCAGCCAAGAGGCGGAGACCCTGCCTGGCAGCAGATCTAGGAAGAAATGGAAATCGGATTCCTTTTGTGCTGGGGCTTCTCCTGAGCGGCTCCATGTGCAGAGAGAAATCCCTTTTGGCTCTGCTCTTTGCTGTCCAAATGGGAATCTGTCCTCTGGACTGAGATCTGCTGATCAGACACGGCCCCCCGAGGACCAGCAGACCGAGGGGCCTCAGTCCTACCACCCTGTGGTAACCGCTTCCTCTCTAAGGCGTTATGTCAGAATCGAATAGACATCCGGGAGCTTTACCTTTCTGAGATGAGGGGTATTTCCATCAGACTGGAGGAAAATCCTCCCTGGATGGCTGGGCTAGGTTCTCCTGACAATTCCAGGTGCCAAGAAACTACAGTTCCCGTAGGAACAAGGCTTTCCCCAGCTGGCCACCTCCTCGCAGGTGAAGGATCAAACTACCAGGGGCTTGTGTGGTGGTTTAGGAAATACCAAACCCCGGAGAGAAGTGTTTCCTTGAAACCCGTCAGCTACAGCTCTAAAAGGGCACCTGAGGCAGCCCTGCCTCTGGGGTGTTTGTATCTTTTGCTTGATTTCCCCCCCCAAAAAAATTTTAAAAAATACATGTAGCCTTCTCACACATTTTGAGGTTTGCATCTTAGACTGTTCCCAATTTAAACGGCTGCAAAGGATGGAATTTCAGCCACCCTGAATGATGTCCTGACATTCTAAAGGAAAACTCCTCTACTGTCAGGTGTAATTTTCCAGGGTCTGTACGCTGTGTGAGGTCGTTAGCTCTATTAGCTATTGGACTATGTGCTTGCGTATTCTTGTTACAAAAGTTTTCCGTTTTAATTCCAAATCCAGTGCATATCAAGAGGCAGAACACCTGGGTTCTCAATCATTTTTAAGATGAATTTTACAGTGACCTTTAGACCAAAGCATTGGAGAACCGAAGCCCCCACAATGACTCGAGATAAATCTGAGGGGGCCTTTTTCCCTGTGTAGTGAGGGAGCAATGAATGATAGGGAAGCAGGGGGTGGAACAGAAGAGCTGGCTCCACTTCTGGACTTCGGGCACTTTGTCTGGCGTGGGTTTTAGGGAAGATCCTGGGTGAGGATGAAGACGCTGGCCTCTCCACGCCTCTGCCTGGGGCCGGGGCTGCCGATCACTGTGTCAGCCGGCCTGTGGCACTGCATTTCACGCGCAAGTATCACTTTAACCTCCAGGGAGTAAGCTGTCAACTTGTACCAAAAGTGACTGATGTACGGTCACAGAATTTATCTTGTGATATCTCCTCTTGAAATGAACATATGTTTCATTTTATAAGAGGTCCATATATCCCTAGATCAATCAGCTTTGGCTCAATCAGAAGGCACAGGAGGTGGCTGCTCCTATGTGCGTTCGTGTGTGTGTGTGTGTGTGTGTGTGTGTGTGTGTGTTTGAACAGACATCTGCAGGCTGAAACCAAGACTGTTGGTAAACATTTGAGTACAAAATACAAGTCACGGGGGGAAGAGCTGGCCCTCCCGTAAGTCAGGAGGGCGGTGGGTTTCACTGAGATGTTCCCCAACCGCCCTTCAGGCTCAGGGTTTATCCTCGCAGGAAGTGAAACTGCTTATCACAGGGCATGACTTCAGGTTAAGCGGGAAGTCCATTTCCCTCTTTGTGTTCCCTTACAGAGTGAACACAAAGTCAGGAAAACCATCTGTAGCAAAATCCCTGGCACCAGGCACCACCCCCTTTCAGAACCGCCCAGAAGGAGCCAAACTACTGATGACAGCAGTTCTCATCAGACGGCTTAACAGATGCCAGCAGAGAGCGTGGAAGCTGGTCCCAACCAGTGAGCTTTCTCCAAAACCAGGAAGG